CTGTCTCAGTGTAACGCCTTTAGCTGTAGTCATGGATTTGGGACTAATACAAAGTTTCACTGAATAATGCATGTGTCTTTGAAATAGCATAATTGATATCAATTATTCAACCGTGTCTCCAGCATTGTGTTACGTTTCTAGAACTTCCTGCTGAGATTCTAATGGACACAGAGGTCACGTTGGTCTCAAAAGTCCAAGAAAACTTCAAGGCTGCTCTGCTGCAAACCTTTTAAAGCTTATAAGATTGTCTCTTATGGGCAATAACGTGATTTTAAAAAGTCCTATAATGTATGTGTTTCCTGTCATTGGCAGTTAAATTTTTCATCCTCTTTTAGTTATTGTTGTGTTTGGCGTTAAAGGTGCGACAGGCCTTGTGGAACATTGCAGATTGCTCTTTGTAGCACTTGAGCGGGCGCTGCAAACTGCCCTCGAGTAAAGCGTTTCTAGGTTTGCCATGTGGCAGTAACAAGGTCATTAACTCCAGTTCGATGAGAGATAGAAACAGCACAGCAGTCGGATCCCACATCCCCCGTCTGTCAATTTCATGCTCTCTGAACCAAGATCTGTAAGAGGAAGCTTGCAGAACGTCTTGGATTGGGACGTCAAGTCCCGTGGTGGCTGTGTGGAGTGTGTGGGCGCATGTTTTGTTGAGTCTGCATGTTTGCTATGTATGGGTTGTTCACACTTTAAAAAGGTAATTATTCATCATTTTTTAAGCTTAAAAAAATCAAGCAACATTATAGCAGGCCTACAGTACTAAGTCAGAACCATAGCCATCTCTAGTCAAATGTATTCCTTTAAGGGATTCACGTATCGGCTGATATATGTTCATTTTTAATGTTATCGTTATCGGCCCAATAAGAAAATTTGGCTGATATATTAAAGCCGATAAATAATGGATTATTTCCTTCAGCCGAGGCACTTCAGATGAACATTGTTCGCCATGGTTCTGAATTCTTTGAAATATGATTTGAATCACTTAAAGAAGAAAAATACAGATAAGTGCAACGTGTGCAGCACAAGTCTGTCACATTAAAATTATAATGAGAATTTGTAACCAGGCTCTCAAAAATGATTGGATTTAGATTTATCAGTCAATTTCAAATATAAAGAATTATCGGTATCTGCCAAATTTTTCATATCAGTGCATTCCTAATAAATACACAATTTATAAACAACCTAACTACACACTCACCTAAAGGATTATTAGGAACACCATACTATACTGTGTTTGACCCCCTTTCGCCTGTGGCATTGATTCAACAAGGTGCTGAAAGCATTCTTTAGCAATGTTGGCCCATATTAATAGGATAGCATCTTGCAGTTGATGGAGATTTGTGGCATGCACATCCAAGGGTACAAAGCTCCCGTTCCACCAAATCCCAAAGATGCTCTATTGGGTTGAGTGACTGTGGGGGCCATTTTAGTACATTAGTACATTTTTGAACTCATTGTCATGTTCAAGAAACCAATTTGAAATGATTCGAGCTTTGTGACATTGTGCATTATCCTGCTGGAAGTAGCCATCAGAGGATGGGTACATGGTGGCCATAATGGGATGGACATGGTCAGAAACAATGCTCAGGAAGGCCATGGCATTTAAACAATGCCCAATTGGCACTAAGGGGCCTAAAGTGTGGCAAGAGAACATCCCGCACACCATTACACCACCACCTGCCTGCACAGTGGTAACAAGGTATGATGGATCCATGTTCTTATTCTGTTTAAACCAAATTCTGCCTCTACCATCTGAATGTCTCAACAGAAATCGAGAATCAACAGACCAGGCAACATTTTTCCAGTCTTCAACTGTCCAATTTTGGTGAGCTCTTGCAAATTGTAGCCTCTTTTTCCTATTTGAGGTGGAGATGAGTGTAACTCGGTGGGGTCTCCTGCTGTTGTAGCCCATCCGCCTCAAGGTTGTGCATTTTATGGCTTCACAAATGCTTTGCTGCATACCTTGGTTGTAACGAGTGGTTATTTCAGTCAAAGTTGCTCTTCTATCAGCTTGAATCAGTCGGCCCATTCTCCTCTGACCTCTAGCATCATCAAGGCATTTTCGCCCACAGGACTGCCACATACTGGATGTTTTTTCCCTTTTCACACCATTCTTTGTAAACCCTAGAAATAGTTGTGCGTGAAAATCCCAGTAACTGAGCAGATTATGAAATGCTCAAACCAGCCCGTCTGGCACCAACAACCATGCCACGCTCAAAATTGCTTAAATCACCTTTCTTTCCCATTCTGACATTCAGTTTGGAGTTCAGGAGATTGTCTTGACCAGGACCACACTCCTAAATGCATTGAAGCAACTGCCATGTAATTGGTTGTTTGAGTAATTGAACAGGTGTTCCTAATAATCCTTTAGGTGAGTGTATATACACTCCATGTACATGTCTTTAAAAAGTTAAGTATATAAATGCAATTTCATATTTTTATAACAGAATAAATTGTCACAACATATGACAGTGTCTGTGTATGCCTAGAAAATTCCACATCATATTCATTTATTCATAGTAAAGACTCGGTACAAACTTCTCATTGTTAAAGTCTGCAACAACTGCAAGTTGCAACCGAATTTACTTTAGTATTAGAATAGTAAAATGAGGAAAAAATTAAGGGTGGAGCTTGATTTTAGGGCACAGACTCACAATCTCTAGCTTGAAGTGGTTAAGGATGTTTCGCCCAAGCTGTCAAACTGCCGTCATCAGAGTATTTACGGAGGGGGAAGCATGCTTTCAGATTTTGAATCTTTTTTATGACCAAGTAGAACAGATTCAATCAGACACTTGGATACAAAAGGAGAGAAATGGAGGGAGGCAGCAAAGGAGGAGGAGAGAGGGTGAGGAGAAGGGGAGGAGAGAGGGTGGGGCGAGGGGAAGGTCAGAGTGCTGCTCTGCATAATAAAGATCTCGGCATCATCATCGGGATTCTCCACACGCGCGCTGGATACCTTTTTCTCCACATGTCATTCCAACCCATTCCACCAGGACACGCAAACTGAAGGAACTCGTTCAAGAGTCAGAGCAAAAGGATTAGCTTTTTATTTAAGCCCGTAATCATGGCTACTCAATGCAAACTCTCTCACTCACAGATAGGAGCTGGTCATCTAGGTCAGGGGATTTAAAACTGGGGTCCAGGGGGTGCTAGGGAGACTGTGAAATGTCTGAGGAAAAAATGATTTTACAAAATGGATAAGGCTGTCTATGACAAAATGTGCACTTAAGATATCAATGAACATTACGATTTAATGCCATTCCTTTCCAAAGACTGCTCAGAAATCATGAGATAGTCATTGTAATGAATTGCTAGTTTTCAGTAGTTCGATTTTAGTCATATCTTTAATCATTTAGATTTAATATAGACCTTGAATTATTTTTGATTAAACATTTATTATATTTATATACTGTACTTTATTTATATAACGTTCACCTCGGATATGCTAAATAAATAGAACTATTTTTAGAGAATATTAATACATAATATAATAATGTACATAATGCATAACATTTTGCTTAAGCGATGAAAATATAAAAGCCTGTTATTTGACCCTAATTTAATTTTGTTGTCTTTTTAATATCACAATTCATTCCTCATACTGTGTTAATGAATGTTTCTATGTGAAAATGTGTAGCTGAATTTGTATTTTAGGAAGGGGGTCCGTCCTATGGAGGTTTTTGGCATGAAAATGTAAAAAAAAACAAAAAAAACAAACAACTTAGGTTGACTTAAGGTCAACTCCTGGACTGGTAGATGAAGTCGGAGGATAGAGATCAAGTTCTTAATATCTTAAGATTGTACCAACACAAGCTATGATGTGATTCATGTTGTGTAATAGGTCAAAGGTCAACTGTCAGGGTCATATATTGGAAGCCTGAACTTGAAAATGTGAGGTTGGTTGTGTTGATGTCCTTCACGATGGCCATGGTAACTCGATTCACACGGTTAGATTGTAATTAGTATTCCATAAGGCTGATCAGCTATTGATCTCCCCCGTCTGTGAGATTTGGAGGACAACAAAAGCTGCTTAGTTTGATGCATAGGCCAGGAGGGAGGGAGGGTGGGTTAGATAAAATGAGTGAAAGAAAAAGAACAAGAGAGCAGATGAAGACAAGTCTAAGAAAAAGAATTGGATGCGTTGGATGAACTAAAAGAAGACATACAGAAATTTGGTTGTATTTGCTATAGTTTTCACTTAAGCTGCTTAATATTGGCGAATCAAAACTCCCTGTAACCCTTTCAACCCCTTCCAGACCCCAGCATCTACTGTTTCTCATACCCTCACTCTTCCCAAATCTCTTAGTCTCCGGTGGCTTGCTGAAAGTCTTCAGTCAGCCGTTTCTGCTTGGCTACCCTCAGTAAATCAATCCTGCTGATTGGGTCTGCTCTCTGACAGGGCAAGGACCCTGACGAAGACTAAGAGAGATGTATACATGTCGCTCCTAGTTACAGTCACCCGGCTACAGCAGCTTGTATTGGTGGGAAGGGCTCTTAGCGAAAGGGAGATGAATGGGAACAGCGAGGTTATGCTCGGAACGTGCTAAATTAAAGTTTTAGGTTGAAAAGCGGAGTGTGTTTTTCTTCATCTCAAGTAGTGACATTTTGAGTATCTGTAGATGTGTGGGTTCAGCTTTCAAGTTTGTATGTTAACATTAGCATTCCGCTACGTATGTTGAGTGGAGCTCACCGCTTTTCCACTCTCAGAGTACCTTTGGGGACAGTGTAAAGTTCATCAGTCATGCAAATGAATGCAGTTGTTGAGTAGTATAATCTACCTCCTGCTCTCTGGAGAACTTTGCTTTCAGAAAAACACCATGATGAGGTTTCCCTTACCCCTCTATAGACGCAGCCCAACCAATCAAAAAAATATGGCAGTATGCTATTTCTGTTCTCAACGTGCTAACTTTGTCATCTTTTTATGTTCACACAGACACACATCTGTGCATGCATTTCAGAACTCTACGCTTATTAGCATATTTGTGTTTTTCATTCTTTGCCAGGAGCATTTCAACCCAGAGTGCAAATTCAAAGAGAGTGTGTTTGAGAACTACTATGTGACGTACTCCTCCATGCTGTACCGCCAAAGCCAGTCGGGCCGCTCGTGGTACATCGGCATCAACCGGGATGGCCAAGTAATGAAGGGCAACCGCGTGAAGAAGACCAAAGCGGCTGCGCACTTCCTACCTAAAGTCATCGAAGGTCAGATCAGATTTTAAATAAACTTGAGACATTTTATGGTAACACTTAACAATAAGGTTCATTAGTTAACATTAACTAAGAATGAACAATTTTCTTCAGCATTTGTCAATCTTTGTTAATGTTAATTTCAACATTTACTGAAACTTTATTAAAATCGTGTTAACATTAGTTAATGCAATGAACAGCTGGATTTGTATTAACTAATGTTAACAAAGATTAACAAAAACAGTAACAAATGTATTGCTCATGGTTAGTTAATGTTAGTTAATGCATTAACTAATGTTTAATAAATGAACCTTATTGTAAAGTGTTACCCATTTTATGATGGTAAATCAAGCCTAAAGTGGTAAATGTGTTTTAGAACATTCTACTAGGGGTTTAAACTTGTCATTAGCTGGTCCATGCAGGTTAATAAACCATTTTAGACCAGCAAGGTGGCTTAACTAGCTAAGGTAATAATCAGATAATAATCAACCTGGACAAGCTAATAACCTGCTTGCACTGACTAGTGACTAATATCCAGCTTGCTCTATCAGATAATGGCCATCTTGGTCTAAAAACACTTTACACCAGCTAATAACCATCTTGCACCAGATTAAACCAGCAACTAAACAGTTTAGAGCATTTAATGACGTGCTTGAACAAGTTTGCACTAGCATAATAAGTGCAGGTTATAACCAGCTTGCATCATTAAACCAGCCACTAACAATTTTATAACAGTAACCTGATTGAACCAGCTAATCACCAGCTATGACCAGCTAATACAGTTTACACCAGCTATAGACCAGCTTAGACCAAATAGACAACATTCCCAGAATGCACCAGCTAATGACCTTTGGATGAGCTTATAACCAGCTTGCACCATCTTAAACCAGCCAATCTCCAGTTTAGAGCAGTTAATAACCTGATTGGACCAGCTAATAGCCTGCTTTTACTAGCTTAGACCAGAAAATAACTGGTCAAAATAACCAGCATAGAACAACTAGTAAAAAGTTTGCAATTCAAAATGGATATCTTAGATCTGCTAATAACCATCTTGCACCAAATTAACAACCAAGTTTAGATTAGTTGATAATCTGTTTGGACCATAACAGTTTACACCAGCAGAGCAGCTAATATCCGGTTTATTCTAGCTTAGACTAGATAATAACCAGCATGTTTAGACCAGATACTATCCAATAACCATAATATTAATCCAATTTGCACCAGATTAAACCAGCCAATAACCATCTTCAATCAGTTAATAACCAGCTTGCATCACCATAGACCAGCTAATATCCATTTTGTTAGTTTAGACAAGATAATAACTAGCTTGCACCAGCTAACGGACAATATTCCCAATATAACCTCCCAATATTCAGATTAGTGGTCAATCAGTATGGGTTTTTCAGTTGCAGACTCTTGAAACTTTACATTTTTCACTTTCATAGCTGCACTATTCATGAAACTATGTTATTTTAGTTCCTCTGTTGTTGCTTTAAATAACATCAGTGTGTCTTTGTTCTTCTCGTTCCCTCAGTGGCCATGTACAAGGAACCTTCACTGCATGCGCTTGTAGTAGAGCAGAGTCCTCCTCGCAAAACTGTAAAGACTTCAGACTCCCCCTCCCACAAGAACGGCAGGAAAGAGGCGCCCAGAGCTGATGCTTCATAGCACAGGGGGCGCACACAGGGAGGGTGAAGGACTTCAATGATACAGAGAACTCCATTTTCCTTCATGCAATAGGGGCAGGAAGAGCTGTATGAGCGGCGGCTTGCTTTTGAATGAGGCGAGATCAGACAGCAGCCCCAGGCAATGAGAGGAGAATCCTTGCCTCTCTAGGTCGAACCAGCTCGTATATATTTCCACTGACCCGGCATGACACCTGACCCACCTTATGATCCTATAATCCCTGAAAAAATGGTTCTGTGCCCCCACATGCCCTACTTGAGTTCTCTCACAGTGCCCGACGAAAAATGCTAACAATATATATTCTAACTGAAGAATTCAATTGACTTTTCTTTCCCTATGGTTTCTTTTTGTTTGAACGAAGAGTTTGGGTGTGAGAAGGAGAGCGTGAGGGAGAGAGGTTATTATTTAATATCATCCTAATGATTCCATCAGATGAGACCCTCGCTGGTTAATTTCTTCCTGCCATCATTTTTGCCAACGGCTGCTCGGTGCCAATCAGAACTATAGGAAGGAGTGCAGTAAAATTAGTTTTATTGGACCATTCAAGGAGGATCCAGTGGTCTGCAGGTGTAGATTGATTTCTTCTGGGGCACTGCCAGGGAAACCAATGGTATCGTCCGGAATATGTGATCGGGCAGCTTTTAAAATTAAACAAAACCCTGTAGTTCCAATTCCTTCCACTGATATTCTCAAACACAACCTGATGACGATTATAATGAATTAAGATCGAATCCACAACCCCAACGCATCTGTTTTCGGGTTTAATTGTGGCTACACCTTCCAAAAAAGATCCAAAAAAGGAAAAAAAACAAGTAAATTCTCTTGTGATGACTCTATTAATGTTTAATGGCCAGTGAGCTCAGATCAGCATCCGTATCATTGGCAAACGAGTGCAGATTATTCGGGGCAGTTGTTTGATAGCTCTTTGATGGGATTCGTACAGGGGATTACATGGAGTCCAGCCATGGTTGCTTGAATTATTTACTCCTTTTCTCAAGAACGTACGACTCGTTCAAGCAGCTCGGATAAGAAATTTTAATATGCAAATTTAAATTGTGGCGAGCCGATCAATGACGCAGTGATTATGTGCGTTTAGACGTGTCTATTAGAGTGTGAAAGAGACAGAATGATGTGAAATGAACATCTGCTTCCATTATTTATTTGTGTGTGTGTGTGTGTGGGGGAAGAGGAGTGACGGTCTGGGCACACATGTGTAAACACATTGGCTCACACAGTTGATCACTTTAATGGTTCGGTTGTGTCTGGGAATTTTAATCTGCCTGGAGATGTTGACTGATGTCCTTCTCCAGGTTTCATAATTGACACATAACCAAGAGGAAGTGACATCCAGGACCTCTTTGTAATTCCACAGGCATCTTCCCAGTCCACACACACCACACATAAATTGTTTGTAATGTGTTTTGTTTGAGTAAAGAGTTGGTCAAGCATTTTACAGATGGTGCCCTTTTGTCCTTCAAAAGGGAAGAGACCAGCTCTGTGATTATGATATCAATCATTTGTGGGCCAAAAGCAACTGGTGCGAATGTGGAAGGCGTGTGACCCGAGTGGTTGTAGATGTGACAGGCTCACAAGTTTGGTTTTGCAGTTGTTCTGTGAAAAAAAAGGCCATTTGTGGATTCGTATTAGTGTTTGAATGGTCATCTCAATGTCCTTGAGCTGTGTCCTGAACACCTGGCCAGCAAAGTAAATAGTTAAAATACATTGAATGAAAATATAAGTAAGAATATTAAATCGAAGAGAAAATATTTAGGCAAATGAAACAGGATGTCAGAAGAAAGTATTGCGGATGTCAATGAGGGTTTGTGCATGTTGCAGAACGTTTTTAGCATGTTGAAGCATGGTACGCGTATGTGTCTCAATAAAAGTTGTCCAAGTTAAAGGAATATTCCAGGTTCAATACTAATTGACAGAATTTGGACAACAAAATGTATTTAAATAAATCTTTGTTTTTTTTTTGTTTTTTTTTTTAAAGGCAATAATTGGGTTACAATGATACACTTACTGGTAGTGAATATGTTTTTTTAAAAGGATTTACAGATGTTGTATTGTCATATACCTTTATATCAAAAGGGTTAGTTAGTTAGGCATTTTTTATGATGATGAAATCATGTTAACATGCAAATTTGTATGTCTTGTGGCTATTCTATTAAATCAGTGAGTATGCTAGCATTTATGTTCGTTTGCATCCTTCACTTAAGTGCCTCACTGTAACCCTTTTTCTTTTTTAAAGGAGGGACAAAAGAAAACACATTTTGTGTTAATCAACATTATGCCACAAGTGCAGTAGATTGAGTTTAACTTGAGTTTAACTATTGAACCTGGAACATTCCTTTAAAAGTAATTGCAATGCGTAGGATGAGAAAGCCTGGAGAAAGTTTGGTTATGCGAGACGAGGTTTGGAATGAAGACGATTCGCTGGCTACGAGAGACTGGAAGTCCTGAGGGGGGCTCAGTGATTGAAGTTAGAGAGGAAGAGGATAACACTTTAGAGGCATTGGATTACCGTAAAACTTCAAATAATAGCCGACTCCCAAATAGACGTCTGTCTCTTTTACACGCCTGGTGTGGCTGCAGGTTTGAGTAAATAAAGGCCGGTCTCAAATAGAGGATGGGTCTGTTTTTTAGTTTCGGGTTGTATTTAATCTTCTAAAACCCGTCAGATCGTCCGCTTTTTGGCGGCCATAAAAAAGCCAATTTTTGTCCCGCCAAAGCCTTTTTTGATCGGTAAGGGATGTAGAATAGAATGACTGCTGCGATTGACAGGGCGCACAACGAACGAGCAGAGAGAGCACCCCGAATGCGTGCACATACTCTCACGCGCATATTTTTTAAAATCAATTGACTTGACAGTAAAAGGTTGGAAGACCCCATTTTCACGTGGAGCATTTGCCGATTTTTCAAGATTAGAGACTCTAGGCCTACACTCAGTGTACAACATCTCAAAACTATAATTATAAAGGTCTGTCTCATAATAGACGCCTGTCTCAAATACAAACCAGTGCAGTTCGACGATTTGGGAAAATAAAAGCCAGGGCTATCATTTGACGTTTTACGGTATGAGGAGCAAAACCAGAAAATCGTTAAGTTGGATTCTTGGAGGAGAGAGCTTGTGCTTTGGTGTTAATGATGAGGGCAAGATCCTGTTCTGTGAATTAGGCACTGTATGAATTCTTGCTGATTGAGCGGAAGGTGAGGAACAGGGTCCTTTGAGGATTGGGGGAAGGGAACATTTATGCTCGCCCGTGTGATGTAGTTACCTGGCCCGACGAAGACGTTGAGAACACAAGGACGAATGCGGCGCACACACGCCCCCTCATGGGTGCTCCAAAGTCATGCTCCATTTCCTGAGCAATCTCCCCAAACCCTCTCCTGTGTGTCCAGTGGCAATTAACCTTCCCTCCAGCTCTGTGTGTGTGTGTGAGAGTGTGTGTGTGTGTGTGAGAGAGAGAGAGATAGAGCGAAGTAACGATCGATTGACTCAATAAAAGCCAAACTGGAGAGCAATAGCCCAGTGCTGTGAGCAATAATTGCCCTGTGCAACCAAGGAACCCGAGGACATTAGCAGACGATGAACTGAAAGGATTTTTTTTTTTTTTTTTGTGCGTGGGTGTTTGGGACTTCCAGTCGGTGAGAAAGCAGCGGAGGAGAAGACAACATGGAGATAAAGTGACATTCAGTTCGTAAACCCAATTTTGGTTTTGTCAAATGGGTCTTGCCTGCTTGATCTCGCTCTCTTTCTTCTGTCCAGACCTGGTTTTGCTGTGAAGCGGCTAGTATTATGGTCTCAGATCTCTCCTGACTCTCGCTCTCTCTTTTAAATCAGGGCAAGTTCTCAAGGACACATTGAGTCCACCTTCTGTTTCATTTGCCCTCAATTCAAGCATGCAAAAAGAGTGAGACGATCAAGGGAACACTTCTAAAATGTTCATGCTGTATTTTTGTGAAGAATAATTGATTTCATACTATCCATCTCAGAGGAGTAAAGGAAGAAAAAAATATGTGTATATAAATCAAAGAATTATTAAAAAGTAATATTAAATGCAATCAAAAAATGATGACAGTACTGTAAATGGGTGCTTTTCGGGAGATGGATTGCCTGGTCTTGCCAAAACTGCTGTGAGCCATATGGACTGTGGACATGTACAGATTTGAGTTTCTTTTTTTTTTTTTTTTTAATTGTGATATTGACTGAAGCAACTAAATGTCATTTCACCCACAGTGAAAAATTACATTTTGAAGAATTGATGGGTACTTCTTTGAAATTTGCTTTTATATCTAGTGGAAAATATATATGAACAAACTTTGTTTTTATTTATTATGTTCTCCTTTTTAATTTTAAAGCTGTGTCATTAACAGACTAACTAATTTGACTTTTCAAGACCTCTTCACCCACACATAAGCAAAAAAAAAAAAAAAAAAAAAAAAAAAAACTGAAACCTGAAACCTGAAAGCCGACACACCTTTTCTAATCAGGTCTTCCAATGAAGAAAACAAGCCAATCCTTTTCTCCCCTATCTTCTCGTCTTCCAAAAAGCAAAGTCTTCCACTAGCCAGGGTTTGCCTGAGTGTGGCAGTAACTGCCAAACGGGACATGGCTTCCTGCATAAGCCTCGCCCTCGATCTTACATGGTGAATGCAGGAAAAGACTGATTGGCTGACAGCCAATGAAGGCGGAGCTACACACACCTGCCCTATAAAACAGCATGGAGACCTACGTGGAGACTCGAAGAAAGCTGACCACAGACTAACAGCCGGGGTCAGCTGGCCATCCCCTGCGTCCCAAACCAGCATGGCGGACGTGCTGCTCTTGAAAGCCGACACACTTGGGGGAGAACTAAGACTCTATTGCATGCATCCCACTTTCGGAAATACTAGGAAAGGACTCCCTGTTACAGAGCACAGGATCTCCTTAGCACCCTCTCCTGACCTCCCACTTGCCATCCTGTGTACGTTTCTAGAGCAATTATACATCTCTGGGCTGGGAGGAGGGAGAGGTGTGTCTTATTACTACATATTATTGAATAAACAGTTATATTTGTATTATTGTAAGATGTGTGATGGACTTGTGATGTTGTCTAAAATATGTGCCCCTGGTTTTAGAACATTGCCATCCATAACATCTCAGGCGTGTAGGAAACAGATGGCACAGACAGCTGCAGGTACTCAGGTGAGCAGTCAGGTGACAGGTGACAGACAACCTCTGCTCCCTTCACTTAGAATTGGCACACTGCACACAGACAACACGCTCACACGAAACACTCGCTCTGCGCAGTATTTTTAAAACTTTCCCCTTTTCTATGTCACCAGACCTTGACTAATCGTCTCATTGGCCACCTACGAACATCTGCATTATGTCACTGCATTACAGGAAGTCTCACTAATCAGATGAGGAACAGAATTAATACCACAGGGTGATATATAAACCACAGCCCACTCTTGCTCTTGCAGGCAGACTCGTTATACAATCATAGATCATCTTCCAGACCCTTCAAGCAAGCGGAGATAATTGTCTTGAACGCCTTTACAGACCCAACAAACTCTTAAAACAAGCTGCTTCATTTGAGGATTAGCTGGCAGTTGATGGATAAATATGAGGAAATTACAACATGCAGTAAAGTGTCTGAATTTCAGCGTGGGAGGGCGAAACATAATTCAGATTCCTCTGCGGTTTAACTAATAATCCTAGAAACTAATTCTAGTTCAGGACTCCTGCTGCATGAATATTCAGAAATATTTCGAAGGCAGATTGCTTATCTGAGATAATGACAGCATCTGGTTTAAACAATAAAAGAGTGAAGACTTTGAATGTATGGCATACATCATAAAAAATGGTTGCACAGTGATCATTTCTATGCAGGATGAAGGGAAACTGTTGAAAGTTTTAGAAAACACAATGGAAGTTTTTTTTGTCTTGTTTTCTTGTGGTCACAATCTCATCAAATGTTCAAAACTGTTGTCCGTTAAACATCGTTCTATCATCTTTCATCAGTAAGTTTGCACATTTTATTCATTTACAAAAACATTTTAAACCAACTGAAACCATATCCAAAAAATTATGTGGCCTTTAAAATAAAACAAAATTAAAGTCTCCCTCCCTATCAATAATTTTATCCTTTAAAACTCCTCTTTGATCACCAAAATGACATACTTAAACGTGTGAAAATACTTTCTTCATGACTTAAAATAGCTTGAAGGTAAGTCCTTGCTTTAGTATACACAATTCCATGAATATCTATATATAAAACTTATCCATTTACTAACTTTACTGTATAGTAAACGCTACATGATGGCAAGTGGAAATACTGGTTTAATTCAGCCATATACTGTATGTTTAAAGCATAAAATGATTCAGAAGAAGTGGAAGAGTTAATTACACAGGCTCGTCTAGAAGTCGATGTATACTGGTAACTAAGTCAAGTGAAAGTATACAGTAAGTCAATGAAAGTTTAAAAACATTGTAGGCCATCTGCGCATCTCGGTTTTGTTGAAAATAACCAAGCATAAACAGACAGACCGTAGATGCATTCTGAATTCCCAATACGTTACAACAGCGATAATCAAAAAACGATGGACAAAACAGACACTCTTTGTAAACTTTGTTCAGTAGGAGTGCTGTATGCTCTATGTCCAGTCATTACGCCATTGAAAGAGTGCGAGCGCAGGTGAGTACTGTAGTACAATACCTACACAGACAGCAACATAGTGACACTATGTTGCTGTCTGTGTCTATAGACCAAGAAAAACAGAAGAAGAATACAAAAAAAAACTTTGTTTTCAAGAAAACACAAAAAGAAGGCTGAAATACATAAATTATTGGTGCCATCTTGGTCTTTACCATAGGATACTGGAAAAAAAAATACACTAAATCATGTCACAAATACGTGTGATGTGACATCATTTTACACACACCCAATAACACAAGCGTGCCAGAACTCGTTTCTGAATCCTGAGGCTGAATTTGATTCATTGTTCGGACCCTCACCTTCGGCAAACTTCTGCAACCCTCGATAAAGGTAAACCACAAAAGTAATGCACAAATCTGTCGCGGGTGATAAATGCTCAGTAGATTTTTTTTTCCCCATGTTTAAATTCTAAAGGTAAGTCTTTCAACTGACCACATAAAAGCAGATTGCAGGGCACCCCGCTGCAATCTCGCCTGTGTTCACAGTGCTCTGGAGGAAATACAGCAACATGTTAGAAGTAATAACTGATCCATGCATTATTCATGGACGTCTCTCTGGGGAAGGGAAGAGGATAGCGAGGGTGGTAGGGTCAGAGAACGCACCTCTGCATGCTGCTCCTCATTACATTTGCCATCTGGGCAGAGCGTTTAGACCGGGGCTTCCCTTCCTGATCTCACCCTACACACACACACACACACACACACACACATATAGGCTGCAAAAATAATGCATGCAGAAACAAGTCTTACATGCACACCTACACACTGGAAAGCAAATACACGCACACAGACACACTTCATACTTGTGTTCCCTAACAAGCCTATGATCTCTTGAATGATGATTTTGATCCAACATGGCATCTTTTCAAAGCTTCTCACTCAGTATGCTGCGTGCATCCAAACCTGACATCGTTCACACTTTTTGAACTGTTCCCTGAGGTCTTTAGCTCTGCCCTGAGGCCTCCTGAGCACATCTCCTGACTCTCTCCTGATTGTACCACTTAAACTGATCGTCTTCGGAATCTTACACTGCAGCGATTTAAGACTTGTTTTATACTGCTCTCTGGTGGATGAAGGAGACGCTGCAGGCACAATGCAAATGAAGCCTGAGTCAGCAGCCTTGATTCTGAAAGGATGCGGACTTGTCACTTCAACCATGTTCCTTTAATCGTTGTCATAAGGTTGATATTTAATTTTGTTATATTAACGTGACATGACTACAAAAATTACAACTTCATAATATGCTTCAAACATCCTCAATGAAAAATATGACAATGTCGTTTACAATAGTTAACAATAGTTAATAGTTTCATTAGTTAGCATAATTTAACTACATTAGTTAACATGAATTAATAACGAACTTCAACGGCATGTATTAATCGCTGTTAATGTTAATTTCAACATTTACTTATACATTATTTACCAGTTGTATTGTTAACATTAGTTAATGCACTGTGAAGAAACACGAATTTGTATTTTTAATGAACTAACGTTAACAAAGATTAACAAATATTATATCAAATGAATTTGTTAATGGTTAGTTCATGTTTGTTAATACATTAACTTCATTAACACAAATGAAACTTTATTGTAAAGTGTTACCAAAAATATTTTATTACCTCAGATATAAATACACATAATACAACTCAATTAGTGTTCATACTGTAGAAATTCTTTCCAATAAAATTGCTTATTTTGATTATAGTTTTGTTGTATTTATTGAAATTTCTCCAAAATGGTTAATGTAATTATCCAGACAGGGTCACAATCACATTTATGAAAAAATATCCATTATAATAAAATTGAGATTTAGATCTGCAGGGTTAAGAATAGGTTATATTAAAATTCTGAATGACAAATCATTTTGAAATTAATATCCAGCTTAAGTGCTGCTGTCAATAAAGCAAAAGAGAGATAATTTGAAAAGCATGTGGATTTCACTATTTGTCTCAGATATATGGATTATATGTAGCCTCTTACAAAAAGCACACACTTAGCATTTATACCAATGTCCTCCTTTATCCTACCCTGTGAGGCCCAGGTAACGTCGCAATTGATTTCACTTTTATCTCATTCCCACACATTCCCTTCTGTCCTTTATTCCCTCATTCTCTCCATCTCACCTTCATGTTCTCATTAGGATGTAAATGGACATTGTTGTTATCACCAATAAGGAAGAACAAAGAGATAAACAGGAAGTGTCTGCTGAGACATTTTGGTGATGTTAAGCATCCATTACACTGATAAAGGGAAGAACAAAACAAATGTCAGAACTCTCAGACCCTGGACTGAAGTGACTGAACTGAACACTAGGGGGATATTTCCAACAGGGGGCGGTAGCAAGTAGAAACTGCGTGTATGAGCAGACAGAGAGAAAGAGTTTCCATGAAACTCGTCTCCATGGGAACTGTGGGTAAGATCAAAGTGATAATAATACCACATGCTACAAGATATACAGCCATATATTCAAACACCCCAGAGCTAATTAAACTATATAAAGCAATACATGATAACATTAGCATGAGAACAAAACAATAATGGTCAGAATTACAAGCTTCTTACTCCCAGCTATGAATCACTATCAGTTGACAGTTTGAATTACTTGACTTGGAACTCTAAACAATTATAGGGGTGCGTCTAATAAAACAATCCCCTTACACCTTTCCCCCACCACCCAAAAACATATAGGTGACATTCAAATCTCTGCCCAGGATAAAGAGTACTGCCATGACGATGATATTTATAGGAAGTTTGCATTTGCACACAATGTCAGAAATAAACTTCCGAGTTTCTCATGCTCTCTGAGACGGTGACTGGTAGGGTGTGTGAAATGTCTCACCAGAGCATAAGATAGTATGAGAGAATTGTGATACGTAGATGTGTGTATTGGATTGTGTGTGTGGAGGGAAATATAAAGCAGAGATCTTTATATGTACGCATCTTCAGCTTGTATTCCAGGAAATGTTTTACGGTAGAACCTGTTTGACCAGTGCGGATACGTTAAACCCTTCCCCCCATGAGAGCAGAAGCAAATAATGCTTTCGTGAACAGTTTCACATAAACAATGAAGACATGTACACACGCAGTATGTGAATCATATCTATCTTACTGACTGAAACCTGTGACATCATTGAATGATTTCTAAAGACACGCCTTTTCTATTTCCGTGTATGTTTGTGATAATGTGGCAAAATAAACAGCAATGAAGAAATATCCTTAAGCGATATAACTCACCTGAAAACTATTTGAAGAGTACATTTCTAAGGAACTACAGAGTGGTTAGTAAGCCTGTTTAGAACCTAAACAGTTTGGCTTTTTAGGACACAGACAAACATTATCAGCACATCAGTTTCAAAAACAGAGATGACATGTCACAACACTGAAAAAATGTTTAAACAACTTGAAAAGATAAAACGTGTTTTGGGTAGGCCTGAGTACAGGGACCAGAGCGCCCTCATAAAATTTCATACCAAATTTATAAAAAAATACGTTATTGCTTTTTTTATTCTGATTAAAATCGATTGAAATATGAAAAATGTTTCTCTTCATGTTTATACAACATTACTCTGTTAGTAAGTTAATTTCTCGTGTTTTTATTTAAATATAATTTGCTTTGGCTTAGTACAAATATATTTGCTAAAGTATTATATATATATATATATATATATATATATATATATATATATATATATATATATATATGTATATATATATATATATTAAAGAAGTTTAAATGCAAGGTACACCAATGCGTCAAAACAATATTGTATCTGTGTCATGCTAATTTACAAACATGACATTTAGGTGCATTTCCTTTAATGGTTTGGACAGGAAGTATGAGTTTCCTTTCTGTGGCTAATAATCATTACTCACTAATGTCAATTGAAATCTAATAATAATTCCTCCATTTATTAGCTGGCTTGTCGTGACATTTCACTGTGTTTGGCACTTCAGTTGTAACAATTTCATCCTTCAGAAGTATGACTCAGTACCACAACAACTTGTTTTCCAAATAGAAAAATTTCAACAAAGCTACTGTTCAAAATATCCAATAAATGCAGTCGTGGTGAGCAAAAACATACAAAAATTTAACTGACCCAATCTATTTAGTAGGCTATATGTATAAATATATAAAATGTATAGTGATGTCAAAGCTTAATATTCAATACTCAATCAATACTCCAGTCTTCAGTGTCACATGATCATTCAGAAATCATTCTAATATGTTGATTTGGTGCTCAAGAAACATGTCTTATTATTAATGTTAAATACAGTCAGGCTGCTTAAAGGAGTAGTTCACTTTAAAAAAATAATAATGATAATTTACTCACCCCCCATGTCATCCAAGATGTCCATGTCTTTCTTTCTTCAATTGAAAGGAAATTAAGGTTTTTGATGAAAACATTCCAGGATTTTCTCCATATAATGGACTTCACCAAACAGTTCAAGGTCCAAATGAGAGTTTCAGTGCAGCTTCAAAGGGCCTTAAACGACACCAGACGAAAAATCGTGCTTACCCCAAACTTTTGAGTGGCAGGGTATCATGATTTCACATTGATAATAATAATAAACTATCTGACATCAGAAGGATCACGTGACATTGAAGACTGGATTCACATGAATAAATTACATTTGAAAATATATTAAAACATTGGTTCTGGTGCCCAAATGCAATATCACTGACAGTGTTTCTAAATGTTCGATTGATTGTTGTCTTGTCTTGTTTAAAATGACTGGAAGGCTAAAACTGAATTGCCCTATGGGGATAAATAAAGTTGTTTGAATTGAATAAACCAGTTAATTTAAAGTGCAATAATCTGTCACTTTTCAGCTGTATTTTTGATCAAATAAATGCAGCCTTGGTCTACAACTTTCAAAAACATTAAAAAGTGTTTCCACTTGACTATAGCCTACCAAAATCAATGATATAAATAAACTGCATGATGTAGGCCATATTATTTGGAGAAGGGTTTAGACAACGTCTTATATCCATTTGTACGAGACATTTTGACATTCAGTTCAGAGAAGCTGATATAAAGATATCATCAAACGATGAAAGTATTACCAGCTGTGATTTGTCATACTTCGATACGGTGTCGTCACGATTCTCGAAAATCCCCGACCTCAGTTACGACAAAATTCAACATGGGCAGAAATAAACTGAACCTAACCTAGACGAAACTCATAATGTCTCCGCCCATTAGGAGGACGAGACTCTATAAGCTCAAATCAGCAGCTCCTTTCATTTCAAGCAGGTGCGGCTTTATTCAACAGGTGTCTGAGTCAGGGCATTCACAACGGCTCTACGCGGATTTAAAAAAAAAAAAAAAATTTTTTAACACATTCTTGAGAATTTTACACATTCAAAGTCGGAGGACTACAGAAACCCAGAAAGGAAACTGAAGAAAAGAAAACTGTTGCTTTCAGATATTAAAGAGAGATAGTTTCAGACTAGTTCACCTTTTTAAATTCATTTTTAGAAGATGGCGAATAAAGGAATGCAGCTCCTGGGATTTACTCTATCTCTTCTGGGTTTGATTGGGCTCATTATTGGCACAATCTTGCCTCAATGGAAGATGTCTGCCTACGTTGGAGATAATATAATCACAGCGATTGCGATGTATTCAGGCCTTTGGATGTCGTGCGCATTTCAGAGCACGGGACAAATGCAATGCAAGGTGTACGACTCAATCCTACAACTCGATGGTAAGCGCAAAACGTTTTTTTTTTTTTTTTTTTTTTTCAAAAATTATATTATAGACGACAACAACACCACTGGATATCTTTTTTTTTTTAAATAACCTTCAAGTTATTGTTCTAAACTAAGCATTTGCTTGGTGAAATCCTGTACCTGAGAGAGCGCATGCGCACATGACGTCTTCTTCACACTGTGATGATAATGATACGAGTGTTCTGGCGTCGAAGGGTGCCAGCTTAACGTTAAGGATATAATTTATTTGTGTCTTGTCATACAGCTGTTAGCTGAGCCAATAAAAATAAAAACTTTTAAACTTTGTCGGTAACATACAACATTCTTAATATAATTATTTTATTATTATTTTGATCTGTCAAATATATATGGGGCAAGTCATATTTAAAACTGATGTTCGTCTTTATCCGTAGTTACATGAAAACTAGAACCCTTCTTGTTTGTCGTTGCCACACCCTATAGCAACTAGTCTCAGGTTACCACAGCAAGGACAGGACACGCACCTGTTATGCCCTCCCTCAGAAATGCACAATGTTCTCCGATTTTATCCATTTTGCCCAGTGGCGTTTGATGCAATACAAATATGTTTGAGTATCTCTCACATTCTTGCAGAGATTGGTGTTTGATAATGATGTTTGTTTTGATTTTTATCTTTTGTTTTATGTATCCATGTGTTTTTGGTCAACGGAAGCTCAGAGGCAGTAAAAAGGGCAGCAGTCCTTCAAGAATGTGTGAACAGAGAAATTTTGAAGCCAAAGTCGACAAAGCAGGAGTTTATTCATTGTATTCAAGTGGTCAATAAACAAAATAGGGCTTTAAAGTTATAATTCACCCCCAAAATGGGGTTTTGTCATGACCCTCAAATTGTTTCAAAACTGTATGAATTTCTTCCGTTGAGCACAAAAGAAATTTCGAAGAATGTTGGGGACCATACAGTTGCAGTATCCATTAACTTAGGAAGTCAATGGGTATCTATTGTGTTCAACAGAAGAAAGAAACATACAGTTTTTTTTGGGTACCTGTAACATTAGGTGAACATTCTGACAGGGAAAATGCTAGTTTAGTGTAGGGTGATACGGTTGGGTTACGCTTTATCTCAAAGTAATGATTACACAGGCGTGACTCAAACCCTTCCTCCACTCGTTGAAACACTGCTCCTGTGTCAGGACTTGGGAGGGGGAGTCAGGCATTGTCTTTAAATGGCTCAAATATTTTGCCAACAGCTTGTGAGAACTCTGTTTTTGACTTTGTTAATAACCTACACAGACAATGAAGTTATTTAAACTCGAGTCTTTAAAAAAAAGGTCTGTGATGTTTACCTTTATTTCATTCCCTCTTTACTCCCCACATCTGAGATCGATGTAAAGGAGTCATTTGGCTCTACCACTTGTGTTTATAGCTATACAGCGTGTTTATAGACCCTAAAGTCATTTAACCAATTACCATATCAGTATTTTGATGTAGCTTCAATAAAACTGTCTCTTATCAGTGAGTGTTTCATTTTATATTATGCATTGCACGCGCAAGTACAACACATTTAATTATATATTACTGTAGTATTGCCATTAGGGATAAACCATAAGATTTAACAGAGCACAAGCAAAGTGAGAAAAAAACCCGGCAAGGTGACGTAATGGCCAGCAGCCATTTTGTACATCTTGTAAGATTTTAATATGCATTTTAGTTCAGGTAACAGGCTCCTAATAAACGATTCTTCCTAATAAATTTCCTAAAAAATTTGGCTTGATACTAAAATGATGTGTTATGCTTTCGAAAGCCATACACATCGAGCAAAAGTAGATAGATCGTTGCATTGAAACCAAACTTCCCACGACTGGTTAAACCTGTTCCTTCACTGTATCTAAAGGGCAAATCACCACATATGTATAATCTTCTCTCAAAGGAGGCTTCCGGTTGGAACCGGTCTTTGTTGCACCTGACTGCAGGTGTAGTGGGGGAAGGGCTTTTCTCCTCCGTCAGAAAGGAACAAAAACAATCTGGCCATTTCAAAACCCTTTTCTAATCTTTTTGAATCACTATTGATGCACTTTTTGTGTGCTGAACTTACATCACATATGATAAACAATTAAGGAAATATTTTTAAAATAAGCTTTTTATGTTGTGGGTAGTCTGTCTTGTCACTGTAATGAATGTACATGTCGAGAGTCTCGAGACAAATTTTAATCTCTTACTTCCTCTACCCTCCCCCTCTTTCAGGTGCTCTCCAGGCAACTCGTGCCCTGATGATTGTAGCGATCCTGTTCACGGTAGCGGGACTGGGTGTGGCCAGCATGGGAATGAAGTGCACTAACTGTGGTGGTGATGACAGAGTCAAAAAGGCCCGCATTGCCATGACAGGCGGGATAATCCTCGTTGTTGCAGGTACGTTCACTCTAAACTACGGTAATTAAACTACAGCAGTGACAAAAACAGAGTTTCTGTGAACTAGTAAAGTACAACATGAAGCCCCCCAAAAAAATCCCGAAATATGCAATTAAATAGAAGTAATAATGCATTTTTTTTTTTTTATGTACACGTTTAAATCTACACAGTTTTGGTTTCGCATTGCTCTGAATATGACTTTTACAAATGACACGCAGAAAATGTTCACTCCCAGTCAGTGGACAGATACTGTGTCAAACAAATACTGTGTAGTTTGTCATTTTTTTTTTTTCATAAGTAACTAATTTATCGCTTCTCTTCCATTCCTCAGCCCTCTGTAGCATTGTTGCCTGTGGTTGGTTTACAAGTCAAATTGTCCGGGATTTCTACAACCCCTTCACACCTGTCAATACAAAGTAAGTTTAAATGTGGCTGCCAACCACAAGAAAAGTATACGCATTTTTCCATGTGCTTCACCTTAATTTTATTCGTTCTCTTTCAGTACTGAGAAGGGAAGTCACATGCTCATAATATAATACTCTGTTTCTGTAGGTATGAGTTTGGTTCAGCCATTTTCATCGCCTGGGCTGGTGCGTTCCTGGACATAATGGGTGGAGGCATGTTGGCTGCCTCCTGCCCAAAGAGTAAACCCTCTCCCAAGTACCCCAAGTCCTCCAGACCTCCCAGCAGCAGCAAGGAGTATGTTTGAGCCGCATCAGTTTTTCTCAAGCTGAAGAAGTCCATAACGTATCATGGGGCATGGGTAGAAGTTTCCCTAGTTTGCTGATCTGAGATCTGTTATGATTGTTATTTCTTTTATTGTGGTTGACTTAGAATAGATGAAACCATTCAGATCAGTGTTCTCAGGCAACTTTTACTCGTGCTCGATACATCAGCCCACCTCAGAAAATAAGGTCACTTCTGTTTTTCTTTCTTTTGATAAGCACAAAGTCTTTTTTTTCTTTTTATTTACGATCCTGTTGCGGATGTGAGTTTGGAGGGGGGGGAGGGGGGTTCTTCCCAGGTGTGTTCCTCGATTGATGAGACTGCCATATTTAGTGAAAATGAAAGAGGGTGACATGCTCAGGGAAAAATCATCACTCGCACCGCTTGGTTACACGGCATCACTGCTGAAAAGATTGGTCCTGACCTCATCATTTCCCTTGTTGCTGTGTATTTCATCTAATGAATTGTGCCAGACACTGAGGGGCATGAGAGAATTTTTAATTTAATGTGTAATGTATATATATTTTAAGAACTAAGGCATAAATTTCTAGTTCACTTTGCTTGTCCCCGTGTCATCAGACTATTGCTTTTCAAACGATACTTAATTTTTTTAAATGAATTTTTTAGAAAGGAAGTAGAAAAAAAAACAAAAAAACTAAAGTCTTTCTCCGTGTAAAGTAGTGTTATACTGACGGTGCTTACATGAAACTGTAGGTGAAAAACCCAAGCTTGACTTGGTTTAGATGATGGTAAAGAAAGGCACTAAACTTCAAATTTTGCAGATTGGGCGGTTTCTTTTACTGAGCAACATGATCAATGCTTTTTTTTTTTTTTTTTTAAATCAAAGAAATGGCTCTTCTATATGCAAAGTGAAACTTAACCTTAGCTTTTGTGCTTTAGCTCCTCAGTGTCCTCCCTGTTGCATGTGCACATTTATAAAGCCAATGTTACAAAATGTTTTGATACTCCTTGTATTTATACACCACTTACTGGTAAGGAGAAAAAGGCTGTAGATATTTATTCAGTTTTATCACAGCTGGTTACAAACTAGACGTCACATGGATTACATGACTTTTTTTATTATCTGTCCATTTCTTTCCTTTGTTCTTTGTGCTTGGACCACTTGAGAGATGGGTTGCCCTCAAGTCTGTTTAGGAGTTAAGGTAAATTTAGGTCACATGTATATTTGTGACCAGCTTGTGCAAATATTTAACTTTAAACAAAGTTTTTGACTGTTAAGTTTGTTACAAATTACAACTTATGTAAATAAATTTTTTAAACAAGACCTGTCCATTTCATGTTCTTTGAGTGTCTAATGATATCTGTGGCAGTTAACCTATATTAGTGGTTTGCGAATACCTCAGTCTTGGTGAGTCACGTGGTCCCCTGATTTCCGTTTCAGTATTATTTGCATGTTCTGGCATCGCTGTAGACGTGTCTTAATGTAAATTATCCTGTAATTGGAGAATATAAGTGAATGGAAAATGGGTCAGTACATTATGCTGTGGGTAACAATTTCTAGGTCGAGCCATTTGTATTTCACGAACAAATCATTGGTTAACAGGAAGTGATACATAAATCTTGTTTACAAAGGGAATTTGCGTTTGACCTACATGTGTGGGACAAAATGTAAGGTACTTTTCCTCCTCGTTTGGGTGTTGTGCTCTGTACTGCCACTTATGATAATGCCTAATCTCCTCGTCAGTCAAACGCGAAGAAACTCGACTTCAGCACCCTAAAAAGTCCAAATAATACATATAAGTTGGCCTATATAGTAAACATGGTTTACAGCATTATACCGCATGGTTTAATTTATAAATGAGTCGGTACCAAGATAACAAAACCATAACCCCTTTGGCCACTGGTAACCTAGACGCTTGACAACACAAATCGCGTTTAAACGAGGAAACAAATAACAATTTTGAAATTGAATAGTTATGGAATGAAACCATATCTGTAGTCTTTGAAACATTTAAAAACATAAAAGCTGTCAAGATTTCCCTCAAAATATCCAAAGTCTGTAACTTTGATAGCAGACGTGGTTTGGGTGATTTTGAAAAGTGGCTCCAACTTAAAACGATATAGAACCTCAAATTTCTTAAAAACGTAACCCACCTTCTAGTTCAGGTTTTCTTAAACATTAAACTTGTAGAACTTGAGGCAGTTTGCCAGTATACAGTCTAATTCAAATAAGTGGTTTTAAAAAAAAAAAAACAGCAGCACCAGGAAAAGATAACAAAAGAACTGTCTAGTGTCTTCTTATGGTTTGTTGCCATCTAGTGGCCAAAAATGGAACAGATTGACACTGACTCACAAAAACGAGCTCAGCTTTATACACTTGTCATTTATTAAGTCAAACTGATTTACACATTATTTTTTGCATGTCCCTTTATCTAGTGCTGAGATACAGAATGCAAGCAACACATTAAACCATTTAAATTTGTGCCACAGAATCATTCAGCCAACTAATCGAATCAACTTATTACATAGTTGATCAAAAATGCATAAACAATTCATCATGGTACTAATCAGGCAAGTGCATAGCTTTTCAAAGTGATAACTGATGCAACGTGCAATGTTTCATAAGGCATAAAAGCATGTAAAACAGCTAGAGATGCGAAAGCCTGAAAGTGATTCTCAACCGGGGCAGGCAAAAAGACTTCATATTATGTACAAAATAAGGAAAAACTATTTAAAAGAATTAAAAAAAAAAAGTTCAAAGTAATCAAACTTAAATAAGTTAGTTTAGTTCTGAAACCACTGGAAATTAAGCATATTATTATAACCTGTAGATAGTTTCTGTGAATAAAAAAAAAACAAGCTTTGAAATATCTTAGTGTACATGTTGGTGCTTGAATAAGGTTGAATAACAAAAGGTTGAAAACCACAACTCAAGGAAGCAGCATATATTTCCTGGTTTTAAGAGTCAAACTGAGTATAAATACAAGAACACTGTGCTATTCTTCTCGACTGTTTGAATAAATAAAGTGAAGGACAACAACTTTTTAACAGCACAAATCTGGACAGCGTGGTCTACAGTGGTTGGTCTTTACCTTTGGTCTGAAATATGTTGATCAGTCTACATACACACATTTCTCCCTCTGGGAGGCACCAGTGTCACACACAGAGCTCTGATCTAAGAAGCTACTACGCAACAAATAACCTGTGTTGGCCTGTTGTATGCCGACAGCTGCTGCCATGCGACTAGTAAACTACAGCTGAAACGCATGCGGATCTCGTGTGAATCAGATACTGGGAGAGGCGATTGTCTTTTCTCCTGCTGAAACTGTTTCTCCTACTGTCCTGTGGCAGAAGGAAACATTTCACGAATAGCTGGTCCAAAATATTAAGAATCTGGGGAGGCTCAGGATGGCTCATTGTTGAGAGGGACAGGTGGTCCATTGTTGTTATTATTGTTGATGACGTCATCCAGGTCTTCGTCCTCTATAACCACTATGAAATAGAATTCACATCCTACTTTAAACAAATTAGCAGTTACAGTCAGTGTGTACAGTGTAATCAGCAGAGCCGTTAATAAATACATTTTGTATTTGAAATAAGGCTAAATTTGTATTTGTAGAAATATCAACATTAGGTTATCTTTCTTATAAACATCTTGTAGTGCATGACCTTTAGCACGAGTGCAATATAAAACTGTTACCTTAATTTTGTGAAGTAGTAAATAGCTGATTGTTAACAACTGGATGTTTGTAGAAAATTTTCAATAAACACATGTAATATCATGACCTTGAGCACAAGGCTAAATAAGCAATAAAACTGTCAACCCTTTTTTATTTTATTATATTTTTTTAGGTCTATGCATTTATCCCAACAAAAATTAATTTAGCTTGATAGTCTCAATGCAACTTCCTAGATCTTCCTAAAATAAATCTACCTCAGTATATAAAAATGCACTCATTTCGTGGAGAGACCATTCTAAAGATGGGGTAATAAATCATAAAGTATCCTAAGTAAATGGAAGAAAAACATACTCACCTCTCTTTGACCGTCCAATCTGTCCGAGTTTGGGGGCCCTCTGGCCTAACCTAAACTGGGGGGATTCGGGGCTCAAGCAGTCCCTGTTGAACTCATCCCGCAAATGTTTCATCTGACACACCGAGTCAAGGGGACTAGGTTGAAGTTGCTCCAAGGGCGGCAGGAGCTCGGGCATATCCGCTGTGTCAAACATCCCTGCAGCCGGAGTTTCTTCCCGGTTTCCAGCGGTGACTGTGTCCGCTTCCCCGCTGCTCATCAACGCCTCTTCCGCGCCCGCGTGCTCCTTCTCCTCCTTCTCCCTTCCACCGCAACAGTACAGCATTCAGAGTGTATAGGACGACGAAACGGACTTAGCGAGGATACGTTTGTCGTTGTCTCTGCAGTGAGCTCGTGTTTCATTCCACTTCGTTATTCAGGCGGAAAACTGCAGAAGGCAACTGCTCTTGACCATCATCCCTCGGTAATGATCGTCTCTGTGTTCTCTGTGATCCTACAGTCAAACCAACACAGTCGATGCAGTGGACCGCATGGCGTAAAGCTGCACTCTCTGACAGTCACATTAGTCATTCACACACCAATAAATTATAGTGGAGGAGTAGTTAATAAGAAACCTCAATTAACTAACACATCATCACCTTATATTAGGTGTCTTTAATTCACCCTTTAAAAAAAGAAAATAATATTCGTCATAATTAGCCTTCATGTCTTTCCAAAAATGTATGACTTTCTTTCTCTTGAGTAAAATGATTTTCTTAGTCTTTTTTAGTCTTTTTTACTCTCTCTCTCTCTCTCTCTCTCTCTCTCTCTAGCTCTCTCTCTCTCTCTCTCTCTCTCTCTCTCTCTCTCTCTCTCTCTCTCTCTCTCTCTCTCTCTCTCTGTGTGTGTGTGTGTGTGTGTGTGTGTGTGTGTTGGAAATCAGTGTAGCCTTAAGCCTAGTTCACACTACATGATTTTAAAATGTCGGGCTGAACTGTGCAGTTTACACTACATGACTTGCTCTCAGTGAAATCATGAGTGTTCAAGTTGTTTAGCTGTTCACACCACACAACACAACGTGATTGATCCACAACAGGAGGTAACTCACTACACGAGTTACAACGCACTACATAGAGATACAACCACGATCGGATGATAAGAGCATATCATTTGTGACTCAATGAGAGCTGTTTCAGTACTATAATACGGTCTAAATCCTGAAAATAATCAAACAAATAACGAGTTGACAACAACACGATTCTATCATGTCTAGAAACCATGTTTTGTAACGAAAAACCACGCAATAAAACGAACCAGAAATGACGCGAAACTGCAGAGAAGAACACAACACGCGAATATGGACGTCAGACAGAAACTAGTGCTGCACACTGTTTGCTCGACGATCTGCTCTGAGAAAAAAAATGCAAAAAAGAAAAAAGTAAGATTTACCTGGTGTCCTCAACCCATGCGTTGCTATGATTGGCTGTACTCATGACATCACTGAGATTGAGTCGCGCGACTGGGCGAGATATCTAGCATGCTAGATATTTTTCTGAGCTCGGTGACCTGTCTGCGAGCTGTCTGCGAGCTGTCTTTGATGCGTGTTGGCTCTTTCACACTAACTGATTGGCGAGCGTTAATCGTCCGCTAATCGCCCGCGATTTGCACGCGATAACACCCTGACTTGTCGGCGACTCAACGATTTGCAAATCGGGCTTAAATCGGGCTTAAAATCACGTAGTGTGAACTAGGCTTTACCTGGCCTTATGGAAATCATGGGGGGGGGGGGGGGGGGGGGGTGTTTGTATAAGATGATAGATATACAAAAGCATATCTATCATCTTATACAATCTCTTTTTTCTTAGTGTTTATATTAAATACACATATTCAAATATTATTTGATTAGACACACACACACACACACACACACACACACATATATATATATATATATATATACAACCCTCTTGCTGGAATTCTAATTGCACATTAGGACCCTTCAGGATTAAATTCTAATATAACAATTTTGACTATGTATGTCTTTGGAAGAGCATTTCGTGATAAGTAAGGATATCCCAATCCAACACCCCCTTATGTCATAACTCTTGTATACTGCCCAGCTGTACTCCAGCTTACAATGTACCGAGTTTAATCCTGGAACCAAACTAATAAATCCGTAGAGAAAGTTGTAGGCTGACTCATCTTCAATCACAATCTGTCTCTGAGATTACTGAAGGGGACAGAGCTCATGCTGTCAGTAAATACATTCAAAACTCCCAGAAAATCTCCATATTCGTCATTTTTTGCCCACCAGGTTAGCTAGGCAACTTAAAAGATATGTGGATGTGCTGCTGTCCTCATTCCCTGAGGATGGCAGCCCATAGTCTTCGGAAACCTCCACGTGCACCTAGAGAAGCATTATGCTGCAGATTTCCCTTCTCTAGCCTCCTTCGATCTTCAATGGCTCACCACCAAGTACTCATAAATCAGGCAAGCTTGACCTCATCTATATAATTTTGTTTAAACCTATGCACATTTCTGATCACTTCCTTATCACTTTTAATTTACACTTCCTTTTTTTCGTATCACCAACCCCTTGCTAGACTAATTCAGACCTATGCTCCATTTCTCCCTCACACCTTTCCTCTCTTGTGTCATCCCCTCTTCCTTCCTCCACCCAATTCTAGATGCTAATAAGACCAAAAACACTTTATTTTCCACTCTAACATCATGTCTAGACTAAATCTGTCCTCTTTCCTCCATGCCAGCATGTGTTACTCCTTTAAATCCTGTGGTGATCCGATGTTCTCTGTGAGCACTGGACCAAGCTCAAAGCAGCTGAAAGAAAATGGCTCAAATCAAAAGATTCAGCTGACCTCAGTAAATATCAATCTTTGCTGCAGGTTCACACTGCAAAAATCTCATATTTTCACAAGATCAACAGCACTTTTGACACATGCACATTTTTCAAAACATTTGATTCTCTCCTCTACCCCTCTTCACAACCTCTTACTTACCATCTCTTTAACAGCTGATGACTTTGCTTACTACTTCACATATAAAACTACAACCATCAGCAGTCAGTTCTCAGCATCACACATCCAGGAACTCAAACCAGCCACACTCACAGATAAAAATCTCCTCTCATCCTTATCTTCTCTCTCAGATGAAGAACTGTATCTTCTCTCTCAGATGAAGCTTCTCATCTCCAGCCACCCAACCCCCTGCCCAATAGACCCCATCCCATCACCCCTCCTACAAGCCATTTCTCCCACACTTCTGCCCACACACTGCATTCAAGTATGCTTGGGTAACCCCACTGCTTAAAATTCCTATATTAAACACTTCACTTGTAGACCTGTCTTTCTCCTCCCATTCATAATGAAAGCACTTGAACAAGCTGTTTTCGGCCATCATCTTTCCTTTCACAGAACAACCCACTGGACAATTGTCTGTCAAGTTTTGAAACCAATCAAGATGATCACTCAGTCAAGACTGCCTTGCTGCTGGATACGAAAGCTCTGCGGATTGCAAGAGCTGATTCCAAATCATTCGTTTTCATTCAAAATCATCAGTTCTAGATCTACCTGGAACTTTCAACACTGTTAATCATCAGATAATCTTACGAAGATAAGGAGATAATCTTATCTTTAATCTTACCTCACAGGTAGGTCGTTTATGATTGCCTGTGGAGGGAAGGTATTCAAAACACATCAGGTCATTGGGGTACCCCAGGGATTAGTTCTTGGACCTCTCCTCTTCTCCAAATGCACTACATCACTGGGACCCCATTATACAGGCACATGATTTCAATGATTATTTATTGACATACCTTTGCAAATCTCCATATAGACTTTGTAACCTGTCAATCGCTTCAGATATTTCCTTATGACTCAATAGAAACTCTAAAAGCACTGAAAAAAGCCACATCTTGCAGATGAACAGTCTCTTTTAAAAGTTGTGCAGTGACTCCCTGGGAAGGAAAGGTATTTGAAACACATCATCAGGTCACTGGGGTACCCCAGGGTTTAGTTATTGGACCTCTTCTCTTCTCCATATGCACTACATCACTGGGACCCCATTATACAGGCACATGATTTCAATGATTATTTGTTGACATACCTTTGCAAGTCTCCATATAGACTTTGTAACCTGTCAATCACTTCAGATATTTCCTTATGACTCTATAGAAACTCTAAAAGTGCTGAAAACAAAAGCCACATCTTGCAGATTAACAGTCTCTTTTAAAAGTTGTGCAGTGACTCCCTGGGAAGGGAAGGTATTTGAAACACATCATCAGGTCACTGGGGTACCCCAGGGATTAGTTCTTGGACCTCTTCTCTTCTCCATATGCACTACATCACTGGGACCCCATTATACAGGCTCATGATTTCGATGATTATTTGTTGACATACCTTTGCAAATCTCCAAATAAACTAACCTGCCAATCGCTTCAGATATTTCCATATAACTCTATAGAAACTCTAAAAGTGCTGAAAAACAAAAGCCACATCTTGCAGATGAACAGTCTCTTTTAAAAGTTGTGCAGTGACTCCCTGGGAAGGGAAGGTATTTGAAACACATCATCAGGTCACTGGGGTACCCCAGGGATTAGTTCTTGGACCTCTTCTCTTCTCTATATGCACTACATCACTGGGACCCCATTATACAGGCACATTATTTCTCCTACCATTGCAATGCTTTGACACACTTTTCACTTAAACCAGATGATCTCACAGTATCTGCACAGTTCTCAGACTGGCGGACATCTCTGCTTGGATGAAAGAATATTACCTACAACGCAACCTAGCAAAGACGGAGCTTCTCGTTTTCACAGCCACCCTGTCAGTCCAATACAACTTTATCCAGCTAGGTTTTTCAACAAAAATCCCATCAAGTTTGGCCAGGAATTTTGGGGTAATCTTTAATGATCAGCTGACCTTCAAAGACCACATTACTAATAGCACGGTCATGCAAGTTTGTACGGTATAACTTCAGGAATATCAGGACCTTCCTAACACAACTTCTCGTCCAGGCCCTTGTGCAATGCTCTTCTCGCTGGACTTCCATCATGTGCAAACGAACCCCACAACTGATCCAGAATGCAGCGGCTCGACTGGATTTCAACGTACCCATAAGACCCCTCAACTCATCGCTGCTTATCTCTCTGCATTGGCTCAAAAATTCAAGGTATTTGTGACTGCCTACAGGACGGCCACAGGCTACACCCTCCTACCTCCACTCTCTATTACGAGTCGTGCCCTCGTAAGGAACCTCCGATCTGTAAGTGTACAGCACCTTGCGTTACCATCAGGCACAAAATCACTCTTAAGAATGTTTTTATGTAATGTTCCTTGATGGTGAAATGATCTTCGGTACAGCTGAATACCTGACAATTTTCAAGAAACACCTGAAAACTCATCTCTTCCGTGAGCACTTAATTGCTGCCTGCTGAATAATAATAATATTAATAATAATAATTCCATTTCACTATTCCTTCACTTATGTTCTCATCGTTTCTTAATCCCTCCTCTTGCTTACTTTTCTGAACGATGGCTAAAACTTTGTATTAATAGCACTTCTTGTGTTTTTGCTTCATTAGTTGAATTGCTTGTATTCCTCAATTCAAGTTGCTTTGAATAAAAGTGTCTGCTAAATAAATAAATGTGAATATGAAACAACTAAAGATGCTGCATCATGGGAAAGGTCACAAGATTGAAAAAGACAAGAGGATTGAATTAAAAATAAAACGTATAAGGAAGAAGATAAGCGAAGATTATTTGTTGGCATACTGCCATAGAAACTATTTAACTTTTCAAATGCTTCAGATATTTTCTTTTGACTCTATAGAAATTCTCTGTTAAAAGTTGTGCAATGGCTGTCATCGTCATTTGAACATTTCTTTATGATGTCAAGATATGAGTTTCAGCAGGTCCGTTCTTAATATATTGCATTTTTGATGAGTGCAGAGGCACTTATGGGAAATGTTTAATGGATGCTATTGCTAACAGGATTCCTTTACTTCAGCAGAAACAGTTCAGAAGCCTGTCATCTGACGAAAGCTCTGAATGAAGACAAATATCAATGCAGAAGTCTTCAGGTTTTATTCTGTTATATGTTGCTTGGCTATTTCTCGCCAGTGACTATCTTTGAATTTAAAGTCATAACATTTGCACATTTTTAATGATTATTTTGTGTCTGGATATATTTTGAGAAAGACAAAGAAGCAGGCTGGGAAGCAGATACACATGCGTGATTAGATTTATTAAAGTGCAAACACAAAGTAACTAGTGGGACTAGAAGAAACACAAGGGCTATATACACAGACAGACAAGCTTAACAAGGGGGTGTGGCTAATAAGAAACACCTGGGGAGACTAATCAACATTAAACCTACAAAGAACTGCAAAACATGGAGCAAGACAGGAAATATCATAAGAGTCCAGAAACACAGGTTGGAATTATAACATTTACTCTCTGAAGCTGTTGATTATGTGGTTTCAATGAATAAGTTGCCAGTTTCGTATATGGTATATTTTCATGCATTTCTGGATTCTTTCATTTGCAATGGAGCAATGCAGTATTGTTCTCCACCCTGTCTTGTGCATTTTTTTCAGTGTACATAATGCTAAAAGGATGCTGCTGCCAAACAGGTTAAGGAGGTTTTTCTTTAGAGCCAAAATGATGACATTGTTGTTGTTTTTTTTTTTTTTTCAAAAAGCGCTCAGTTAAAAGGCAAGATTGTGATCAGAAACTGCAGATACTTTCCATTACACTGGACCTGCCAACACAGGTAAGTGTAGAGATATGCTGAATCAGTGAATCCTTTCGTTACTCTCATCTGCATTTTTTACGATAATTTAAACTTTTAAGACTTGAATAGTTTTCACTGTGACAGTGCCTTTATGAAAACCATAATCACTTTTAATTAGATCTCTTATGTCAGGAAAATATCTTATCTGTTAAATTTATCAAATATATACAATATTTAAATTAAAATAAGCATCTACTTGTGTAGTAAATTAATATACTAAAATATTATGTAAACATCTTATAGTAAGGTTTCCTTTTTTAACTTTATTTGACTGCATTTATAAATCTAATGTTAATCTTAACATTTATGAATAAATTTAAATTTAAAAGTTGTATTTGTTAACATTAGTTCATGCACCGTGAACTAACATGAGCATTTTTATTAACTAACATGAACAAAGGTTTATAAATGCTGTTTCTCTCTCACACACACTCACTCAGTCACTCACTCTCATTGGTGTGTGATGCCTAAAATCATACTTCTCTATCTGTTGTAGCCTACATTTGTAGTTGTAAGCATGTCCAACTCCATGGTAGTCATGCAGCCAAAGCCTGTTATGATCTCTAATCATTCTGATCAGTGGGGATCAGAAATCTGTGACTGCTGTGATGACATGTCTGAATGTAAGTAAAGTTTGGAATAAAATACAAAGGTTACACTTTAATTCTGTGGTTCACTTTATAAGTAGCTTTGCTACTCATTTACATGCAAACTAACTCTCATTAGAGGATCAGTAGACTGTATACTGTTTTGATCTTTTGATTTGTATACTGGGTGTTGGAGTTTAAGTTGACATGGGGGACCATCAAAATAAAGTGTTAGCCGATAGCAGACTGTCTAACTTGAATAAAAGTTTGTTGACATGTAGCCTAGTTGCAAAGTTGCATACAGTTAGTAATAGTGGAATTAAAGGGACAGTTCACCCCAAAATGAAAACACTATATCATTATTTAACCTCATGTGACTCCAAACCTGTGACTCGCGTTCTGATACTACCACTTTTATTTTAAGGTGACAGTGACCCTTTAGTATAAGTACTACTTGGTCAAGTAATAGCAGTAAATTATGCACCCTAACTAACCCTAACTGTAATTAGGATGTGTAGTCTAGTTAATTAATATTACTCAGTACTGAAGTATGTAACCTTAAATTGGGAACCAACTTTCTTAGTATAGTTTCCTGCACTTGCTCGGTGTGGTCAAGGATCTGAATTATCTGAAGTAACAGAGAAAGTTCCGCTGCAGCATCATGCAAGGACTTCTGTTTTGATTTGTTAGCTCAAATCTTTATCATGCTACTACAACATGATGATGAAATGTATTGTAGGCTAATAAATATTATGACCTCCCTTTCTGTAAACAGGCTGCTTTGCTTTCTGGTGTTTCTCGTGTTACGCGTGCATTAATGCCAAGAAATACGGTGAGTGCTTATGTCTCCCCCTGCTGGACTTCTGCGGGTGCGTCCCACCCATAACCATATCCATGAGGGCGTCAATGCGCCAGCGTTATGGCATTAAGGTGAGAATCATTTTTCTATCTAATTTACTTTAGTTTCATTTATGGGAGACCAAGGCTAGTTGTCTCAGCCTATTCAACAGAGAAATAAATATCAGGACCAAGAACGTTATTGTTTTATTATTTTTTTATTATTATTATTGTGGTAAAGTGCCATACACAAACGATGTAAAAAAAATATTGTAATACTAGTGATGTAGACTTATAAAGACGTAACGGCTATATTACAAATGTTCATTTGCAGGGTGATATGTGTAATGACTGCCTGATGGCCACATTCTGCAGAGGATGCGTTTGGTGTCAGATGTCACGAGAGATGAAGGCACGAGATCTACAAATCACTCTTATTGGTGCCAGGAATTTATAAATGAAGTTCCTAAATAACTACCTAATCATACAAGCTATAGCGAGTTATAAAATAGGCCTAATAGTCGTGAGCTATAGCTTAAACTCGCAATTCTGAGAGGGAAAAAAAAAGAAATTCATTTAGCCTATAACTCGTAACTGTGAGTTTGTGAATCACATTTCCGAAAAAAGATCGAAACTTGCAATTGCGAGGAGAAAATTGCGAGTTTAGCTATAGCCTATCTCGAGTTGAAGGTTCCTCGAGCCCTATCCACTGCAGACAGCAAGCCAAATAATTAGCAAACAAACGCGCGAATATCTTTTTAAAGTAGGCTATTGCATTTGCGTGTGTAGTGTAGCCAATATACCAGCCTACTACTACTTCTAATAATAAAAAGGAAAGTCTTTCATGCAGCCTATTTATGAATGTAGGGCTATCATTACTTGATTTGGTCATTTATTGATCTAGCCCAAGTTGTTTTTGTATGAGGCTTATTTTAATAATGATGATTTTATGTAAATCGCTGATGTAATTTGTTGAAATGGAAATGTAATAAATGTAGTAATTGTCATCTTTATTGTCAGTTACTCTAATCTGCATAATATCATCATGAAAATGTGTATGGGGATTGCTATATATATATAGGCTATTGAATACACTTATATATTGTATTCACAAAATACAACCAATAGTAAACTCTCATAAAAAAGGTACAAAAGCTGTCACTGGGGCTGTACCTTTTCAAAAGTTACACTTTTGTACCCAAAGGCTGCATATTGGTAGCTTAGTGGTATCTATTAGCGCCTAAAATGTACATATTAGCACCTGAAATGGACATATTAGTACCTAAAATATACATATTACCACCTAAAATGGACATTAGCTCATGAAATTGACATTAGCACCTAAAATGTACATCTCAGCACCTGAAATGTACATATTAACACTTAAAATGTACTTATTAGCTCATGAAATGAACAAAAGTTTACCTAGTTTTAAAGGTACAGTCCCAGTGACAGCTTTTGTACTTTTTTTCTGAGAGTGTATGGTTATGTTACATCTTAAATCTTACTTGTGAAAAGTAATTCCCAAACGATAGTCCGTCGATTTGAGCAGGAATATGCTGCACAGTGCTCTGCCATCTACTGCTGCTTTGCAACACAATAGGAATACGACCGGTTCAAGATGGCGACCGGATTTCTCCATGCCCAGCGGCCAATAGGGCATCTAGTCTCCATATGATATCAATGCTTTCACAGACCCAATGGCCACCAAAGGGCTTTACATTTTGTCTCACATACATCACATCTCATTCATACACCAACGGCGCGGTGGTGTCGGCCATGCAAGGCGACATCCAGCTCGTCAGGAGAAGCTGGGGTTAGGTGTCTCACTCATGGACACCTCGTCATTTGGTCAGATGAAACCGGGGATTGAAACCACCAACTTTCTGGTTTGTAGACAACCTACATGAACCACTGAGCCACTGCCGCAGTGGTATTTCAAGAAATGTTGTTGAAAATGGATCAGACCAAGTGCCACAACACACTCGTAGCCAATCAGCATTGGGGGGCGTGTCCACTCATGATGGTGGCGAGAGAGTGAGATGTGAAGAAAGGCTCTTTTTTGTGTCAATGATTGTCTGGTGGTGTGCTGCTGCTGGCGACTAGCAACCCGGTCTCATCCCAAGACGTCATATAACTGACGTTTTGGGACGTCTTTTGACCATACGTCAATATTCGCCTTTTTAAGGCCCCCTTAAACATTGGTAGAAGAGGTTATGGGATCCTAACTCTACCCCAGACCTAAACCTAACCCTAAACCTAACCCGTCACCTAACTGACGTTAAAGGTAAAGCGTCAGTTGTATGACGGCCCGGGATCGCCATCTACCGACGTTTAAGGGGGCCCTAAAAAGGCGGATATTGACGTATGGTCAAAAGACGTCCCAAGACGTCAGTTATATGGCTTCTTGGGATGAGACTGTGTTACGACTAACAACGCACAGTATGTGCACTTTTTGTTCTTGTTGTTCGTTCACATTTTTGATTCCCAGAGATCAGCTGACAAACTGCCTTTAGTTTACATGCAATGTTCATTCAATTTAATTGATCTTGGATTGTTCTTATATGTACGCTTCGGGTGCAATCGTTTGTCATTGAGGTAAACAAGGGGGAATGTCATGTTATGTCTCTCTTTTAAGAATTCAAAGTGCAAAAGGTGGAGAAATTCAATCATACTCGTTTGTGTTGAATCAGACAATCTTTTTTTCCACCACCAGGCCCTGTTTTAATTCATTAAAGGGCCCCTTATTATTATTATTCCTGTGGATACTGGACAGCATCATGTCTAGAAGATGACGCTGTATTCAATGTGAAGGTAAAGCCAGTTTATTGCAGGATTTGCGAACTGCTTGCTCTTGAAAGATAGTGTTAAAAAAACTTAACATTCCAGCATTTTTCTCCATATAATGCACTTCAGTGGGAACCAAACAGTTCATGGTCCAAAAGACACTTTCAGTACAAACTGCAAACTGTTCAAAGGGCTTTAAACGATTCCAGACGATGAATAAGGGTCTTTAACTAACCCTTTAACTACTACCCAAGAATCCTTCCTACATTTTACCAGTTGTTACATACAGTTTATAAAAACATTTATCGGCCAATGAATATTGATATCTCAATCATAATAATAGCGTGTTAAATTATGATTCATTACATAAATAGAACCGAAAGTTATGGCTTTACTGAATCATATAAACGTAGTATGAATATTGAAACCTATACATTTTTCTTACCTTATTTTCATTCTGTGCTAAAATTGAACATTATGTATTATTATGTACAACATAATGTACATAACCATCTATTTTAATTCCCAGATGGCATATACAATTACAGAACTGTAAAAGCAGACTGTGTAGTTCCAACGCATTCTCATCTTTTAGAGTCATATAGAACGCTATATGACAAAACGGCGCTATACTACGCACATGGCACCCGTTATCATTAATATAACACGCGCTGTGATGGGTAGGTTTAGATGTGGGGTAGGGTAGTCTCATATTACGCTAAAGGATATATGACGACTTGGGTTCACGTGTTATATTAAAGGGTTAGTTCACCCAAAAATGGCTGCTGGCTGCTCACCGCTTAGGAGTTTTACCGCCCCCTACCGTATAAGATGACGTACTGCTTGTAAACAGAACGTTTTGCGCCTCCGGCTATATCAGTACGTCATCTTATACGGTAGGGGGCGGTAAAACGGGGTTGGTACAGCATGGGGGTGAGTAATTAATGACTTAATTTTCATTTTTGGGTGAACTAACCCTTTAACAATAAAGGGTGCCATGTGCGTAGTATAGCGCCGTTTTGTCATAGCGTTCTATGTGACGCTAAAGGATGAGAACGGACTGGTAGTTCACGTGGACATAAGATTTGGGAAAATAAAATAAATCCTGTTTTCGATGCTTAAGACTGTAATTTCTTTTTAATGATATTTGTGATATTTTTCTAATAAAGGGACTGATGTGATGACCTTTAAGTTCATTCAGCTCCGTGTGGAGAGGGATAAGCGTTTCACAGACATGAGGAACGCATCTTAGCGCAAAATTTTTTTATTTCTTCGCGTGAAAAGACATCTTGAAAAAACAATAGTGAAAACAACAACAATCGGCAGCTTCTGGCATGACGATCGAGTCTGTCCCAAAAATACCTCTTAATAAAGTTCAAAGTGATGACGTCACTTTGTTGGACAACTCGGAAGTTAGCGGCGTATGGGTTCCCTCGATCGAAAAGCTAAAATGCATTTTCCCCATAGACTTTAGGAAAATCGCAAGAACTAAGCTCTGTGTTCAACAAACAGCTGTGACCCTTACATGTTTTGGCTATCAAGATAAAATTTACAAGTTATTTCAAAATGTATACATTTTGAAGCCTATTAATAAACCACAAGCAGACACAATGAAGTTTAAAAAACCACAAGCAGGTTATAACTAGGGTGTTTTATGTCATAGATCAAACCGTGAAAATGCTTGGAGGTTTTGTTAACCACAGACCTTATTTCAGGTGATTTAGCAAAAACCCATTCAAAAAACCAATAGACTTTAGGGCGAGGGAACTGGAAGTGCTAAAAAGCTAACTCACTTCTGCATTTTGGCCTACAAAGTGGCATGATAACTTCGGCACTCTATGCGCCCTCATGGACTCGCTTTAAGGGCCCTATAGGTCTGCACTAGATGACGTCACCGAAGTGTGGACTCTGAGGAAGTGTGCAATTTGGAACAGGGACATAGACTTTAAACTAACTGAGTAGTGTATCACTGTGAAACACCCTGCTTGAGTCGTCCTTGCGATGGAGGTTCGGGTTGAATAACAAGCTCTTCCAGTGTTTCATCAAATCGACGTCATTGTTCATTGTTGTGTTTACAGTGTAGGAAGTTTTTTTTTTTTTTTTTTGACACTGTACACGGTAGGCCAATCACAACAGACTGAGCTGTCTGGCCAATCAGAACAGAGAAGCTCGCAGAAAGAAGGGATTTAGAGGGATTGATTCGTTTGATGAGCCGTTTGAGAATCATTGAAAATGTGTTGATGTGCAAATGTGTATTATTTCAAATGGGTAGGAGATTATTATTTTTTTTATTTTATTTTATTTTTTTTTTTACATTGATGCATGTAGGAGAACAACATTAGGGGACTTTAAAATAACATTATAGGGGGCCCTTTAACAGTGAAGGTTCAGGTTTAGCTGCATATTTCTGTGGGTTTGTTTTTTTTGCTCACACGATATCTTGCACCTATAAATGCATCCACTTTCACTTTCTTCTGACAGAAAAGGGAGAGATTGCACTAGAAAGAGTAAGTTGGCCATTTCATCATATTTTCTCTTTTTTTCAGCAGTTAAAAGTGTTACCTGAATATGAAAGAAATAGTTTTTAGTTTTTATTTGGGGGTCTGCAGATGGAAATTAGCCTATGGCTATAATCTGGCATATTTACATTTGTGAAAAATGTTCATTAATATGTATTGTCCCTTTTGTCTTTTTCTACAAATAATTAAATAAATAAATAAATATTTTGCTTTCAATATGTACTCAGAGCTACAGGGTGCACAACAAAAGAAAATAGTTTTAAAGATCTTTAATTAAATAATCTTTAAATGATAGATTTTGGGATTAAGCATTTCTGTGATCATTGCTTAGAATAATTGAGAAGTTATTAATAACAGACATTTGAGAATAAATAAAGATGTAACATCTTGCCACAAAGCAGTTTTTGTAATGTAGTTATATTTTGTACATTCATTCATTCATTGTTCTGACAGTAAACAAAACGAAAACCCAGTGGAACCGGTTCATAGGCCTTCTCGGCAAAGAAATGGTACTATAGTTTAAAATAGCATACACAATTCAGTGAGAAACTTAACTATTTTGTTATTCCTACACCAGTCAGATTACAATGGCGGCTGTAATTATGCAGCAACCTTACATCTATACTCCAAATAACGCCTGGAGTTCAGGAATATGTGACTGTTGCCAGGACATTAATTCTTGTAAGTATGCTAGCAATTCCATTTAAATGCTGTATAATAAATACCACAGCTCCACATACAAATGATAACCCGTTTTGTGCATATTTTTTTTCTTTGACCTCAGGCTGCTGTGCGTTCTGGTGCTTTTCTTGTTTTATGCGCATTACCTCTCGTAAGTTTGGGGACAGCTCCTATGGGATTTCATGTTGTGCGTGGCCTGCGTCTCTGGGAATGAGGGTGGCAGTTCGCTACAAATATAACATTGGGGTGAGTTTTTCTTCACCTCTACCAAATAAACGAAAGAAGACCACAAAATAATTAGTTTGTTTGTGTTTCAACAGGGCAGTATTTGCGAGGACATCATGGTGACTCACTTTTGCATGTGGTGTTCGTGGTGTCAGATGAGTAGAGAAATCAAAGCACGCAAACAAGGCCTCAAAATAATCCAAACAGTACCTGCGTTTCAACCAGTTCCCGTGTCAGCCCAAACTCGAGTTGTCCCTAAACAGCAGACGGCTAGTGTGGCTCCGGCAGCTCAAGCAATACAGATGCAACCAATTCAGATTGGTTAACCTATGGAGACAAGAGTTGTTTAATAGTATATAGATGTTTGTGGCAGATGTTTGGAAGTTTTATAGGGACTTTCAATAGATATATATTTACAAACCCTTATTTTCTATCCCTTAATCCACTTGAACACAGCCCTCACAAAAAAAAAAAAAAAAAAAAAAAAAACTTTCTGCATTTTTTACATTTTCATAAAACATCATTCTGAATGATTTATGAACCGTTTTCTTCACGGGGACCAAAATATGTCCACACAAGGATAAGGAATTTGGATATTACAATGTGGTGGCATTTTGTCCCAATACCATACCAGAGCAACACACACACACACACACACACTCAAAAAGAATGCTAAGTGATATAGTATAACATCCAACCAGCAATCACTATAAATGAGTTTGCGTGAAGAGCATTTGGAAAATGCCTGTGTCTTTATTTGTTTATTCCTTTAATATGTAATCAGACTTATTCAAATGATCTAATTATTCAAATAATAATAAAAACATCTGATTAAATGGTTATAGAAGTCTTGTTTTCTTAATCTGATGTTCATTGTTATTATTTTAAAGGGATCTTGTCTGTGAATAACTTTGAGTCTTAAATAGCAGAAGTGAACAGACACCTCAACTATTTGACTGCATTTATAAATCCTAGATAATGTTAATCTTAACATTTATGAATAAATTTAAGTTTAAACTTTGTATTTGTTTACATTAGTTAATGCACTGTGAGCTAACATGAGCATTTTTTTAACTAACATGAACATAAATGCTGTTTATAAATGCTGTCTCTCTCACACACTCACTTACTCTCATTGGTGTGTGATGCCTAAATCATATCATACTTCTCTATCTGTTGTAGCCTACATTTGTAGTTGTAAGCATGTCCAACTCCATGGTAGTCATGCAGCCAAAGCCTGTTATGATCTCTAATCATTCTGATCAGTGGGGATCAGAAATCTGTGACTGCTGTGATGACATGTCTGAATGTAAGCAAAGTTTGGAATAAAATACAAAGGTTACACTTTAATTCTGTGGTTCACTTCAGACATTCTATAAGAAGCTTTGCAATTATTACATGCCAACTAACTCTCATTAGAGGATCAGACTGTATACTGTTAGGGTGTTGGAGTTTAAGTTAACATGGGGGACCATCAATAAAGTGTTAGCAAATGCTCAACATTCAACCTGAAAATAGTCATATAAGCATTGCAATAACTCCGAAGCTATTTAGTTAAGGTATAAAAAATAAATAAAAAACCTGCATAGTACTGTTTTGCATAACACTTTATAAGGTGACATATTTACTTGTTACTACTTGTTCTATAATTTGTTTTAATAGGCGCTATCTTTATAAATAAACCACAGTTTTGAGCTTTAAACAACTATGTTCTCAACTGAAAAACTCTTAAAACTACATTTCGTTACATAATAACACTAATATATATTTTTTTTTTTCGCGACCTTGAAAAACACCACACCGGCTTCCTTTAACTTCGGAGTTTCCGCTCCCGAACAGCACCATAACTGTTCTCTCCCATTGGTTAGCCGTTCGAAACGTCACAACATACAAGGATTCTGGGTAATATCCCATAGCAAAGTGAGGTCTTATGCGCGGTGCGTTAAAGGTATAGCGGAGGATTTTCTTTTTCCGGGTGGGTAGTCTATACTATTGGTCGATCTAAGTGTCAATCATTCTGGTGATATGTTTACGTAAGGCCGTCGTATGTGCTCGTCCCTATGTAGTTCTTTGAAAATGGCTGAGGGTCGAAAGAGAAAAAAAAAATGTATACGAAGTGTATGATAAGAAGAGAAAGGCCGCAGAATATAGAAACAAGACCAGAGAGATTTTGGGTGAATATCACACGCTGGCGTGCGCTAAAAGCACAGGTTGGGCTTCTCACTGATGCCGCAGTCGCGAAGATTCTACTACACAGGTAAAGTTTGTCATGCTATTTGGAGAAATCCATTTAAAATCACTAGTAAAAATTAATGCAAGCTACTTAGCAATGTTAGCCCTGGCACAAGTCATGCACCACATAGACACGGTAAACATCTCAATTTGTCTAAAGTAGCCTTTTGACCAAAATGGTAAATGGTATCACGCTGAAATATTCTAAAACCTTGCGTGTTCATGTGTTCATATTCTAAAACCTTGTGTGTTTATTATTACACAAATGCAACAAGCTACTTCTCCATACGCAACTATGTATAAAAATAACGTATTAACAATGAGACATATTAGGTTAAGGACCAACGTAATAGCACTGCTTATATGTTGCTATGTAACGTAATTGCGATTTGCAAAATAGTTTCCTCAGATCATATTTTGTGTGATACAGGGTTGGACATATCATGTCTTGAGTCCTCGGTCACTCAATCGATCAGTATAATAAGTAAATAAAACACGGAAGGACATTTGACATGTTGTCTTTTTTATGAATATTTTTGAGTTAGGTTACAATTTGCAACATAATTGTGCAAGGCGTAATAGTAGGCGTTCCCTCTCGGGAGTGTTGTGTTTGTGCATGTGCATTTTTTTTTTTTTTTTTTTAATTGGAGAGGGCGGGTCTTCTCTAAAATTCAGAAAGATCCTCCGCTATACCTTTAAGTATATTATTTCAAATGTATAGGAGCTTAAAGGGATAGTTCACCCAAAAATGAAAATTAAGTCATTAATTACTCACCCCCATGCTGTACCAACCCCGTAAGACCTTCATTCAGCTTCGGAACACAAATGAAGATATTTTTGATTAAAGAGGCTACATGCGTTTCCTGAAATTTAAACTCGCGACTCACACCTGTGGCCAAAAAGCAGAACTGCTCTTCCTTTCTGCTCGCTCTCGCAACGCGCGCTTTTACGTGCACACTTCACTAGTCATCTGCTGCAAGGAGGTCAACATTATGTTTACAGAGGTAAGAACATTGTTTGAGATAAAGTGTTCTGCTTGCGAGTGTAGGGTACTTGCTGACTAGCTGGTGGCAGAGTGATCTGAAACGTTTAACATGACGTCACATCTTGACAGCGCGGGAAAAGTCCGACCCGACAGAAAATAGGAAAAAATAGGATACAGGCTTATAGGTGCACCCAGTGTGAGCAGACAAGGTGTCAGTATGCTCATCAGGAGATGTTTTAGTCATGGTAAAATAAAAAGGGTATTGTTACGTTTATTTTGGGGAAAAAGTTGCATATAGCCTCTTTAAGTTTGGGAGCTGTATCTCTCCTACATAGGCTCCCTAAGGGATTGAAACTTGACGACCTAGAAAGTCAAGTACGGGGTTGGTACGGCATGGGGGTGAGTAATTAATGACTTAATTTTCATTTTTGGGTGAACTATCCCTTTTAAACATTTTTTTTAAACTTTGATGCATGTAAACATGTTGTAGGAGACTCAAGAACAACATATAGGAAACTTTAAAATAGCATATTAGGGTTCCTTTAACAGTGAAGGTTCAGGTTGAGCTGCATATTTTTGTGTGTTTTTTTTTTTTCTCACACGATATCTTGCACCTATAAATGTCTCCACTTTTACTTTCTTTTGACAGAAAAGGGAGAGGTTGCACTAGAAAGAGTAAGTAAGCCATTCATCATCTTTTCTCATTTTTTTTCAGCAATTAAATCAACTTTTTACTCAGACTGTGACTTTTTAAAAAAAATAAGGTGACAGTTTTTATATACATTTTGTATTTGTTTTTAGAACTTTAAATGATTCTTCTACTTGTATGCTAAATGTTATATTTATTTCATTTGTGTGTCCTAATAATTGCAAATTCCCTCAAAAAAAAAGAAAGAAAAAAGAAAGAAAACATTTTCTTTTTCTTTTTGTAAATTACTTTGCAAACCTAGATACAAAACCTGCATGTCTAACTTGATACGGTTGCACAATGCTTATGGGTGAAATTTACAAGTTAAATCATCTGTACGTGTTTGCATTTTACAATAAGGTCCCATTAATTAACATTGGTCAATGTATTATTTAACAATGTGTAATTTGTTACAGTCCTATTTATGCATCTTTGTTAACGTTAGTCAGTACAAATACAACTGTTCATCGTTAGATCTTGTGAGCTAGTAACTACTAGAGAAGTTATTAATAACAGACATTTGAGAATAAAGATGTAACATCTTGCCACATAGCAGTGTTTGTACACTCTAAAAAATGCTGGGTTGTTTTAACCCAACTTTGGGTCAAATATGGACTAACCCAGCCGTTGGGTTAAATTTTTACATTACATTTTTAACCCAACATTTCGGGTTTGTCCATATTTGACCCAAAATTGGGTTAAAACAACCCAGCATTTTTTAGAGTGTAATGTTAGTTATATTTTGTTCTACATTCATACATTCACTGTTCTGACAAGCAGCAAACAAAACAAAAACCCAGTGAAACCGGTTCATAGGACTTCTCGGCAAAAAAAAGAACTGGTAGGATAGTTTAAAATACCATACATAACTCAATGAGAAACTTTACTATTTTTTCATTCCTCCACCAGTCAAATTACAATGGCGGCTGTAATTATGCAGCAACCTAACAAAGTTCGGAAAACTGCCTGGAGTTCAGGAATATGTGACTGTTTACAGGACATTAATTCTTGTAAGTACGCTACAATTCCATTTAAATGCCGTATAATAATCACCACAGCTCCATTTTTACTGGTCGTTAAAAATGATACAAATGATATCCCGTTTTTTGTTTTGTCCTCAGGCTGCTATGGGTTCTGGTGCTTTCCTTGTTTTATGTGCACCACCACTGGTGAGTTTGGGGAGAGCATCTGTCTGCCTCTCCTGGACATATGTGGCCCATCTCTCATGACTTTTTTCGGGGTTTCATCATGTGTGCCGCCCGTGACTCTGGCAATGAGGGTGGCAGTTCGCTACAAATATAACATTGGGGTGAGTTTTTCTTCACCTCTACCAATAAACGAAAGAAGACCACAAATTAATTTGTCTGTTTGTGTTGAAACAGGGCACTATTTGCGAGGACATCATGATATCTTACTTTTGCATGTGGTGTTCGTGGTGTCAGATGAGTAGAGAAATCAAATCACGCAAACAAGATGTCAAAATAATCCAAACTGTACCTGTGTTTCATCCAAATCCCATGTCAGCCCAAACTCGATTTGTCCCTCAACAGCAGATGGTTGGTGTGGCACCGGCAGTTCAACCAATACAGATGCAACCAGGTCGGATTGGTTAACCTATGGAGACAAGAGTTTTTTAATAGAATATAGATGTTTGTGACACACACACACACACATGTTGGTTTTCAAGTGTTATGGGGACTTTCCATAGACATTTTTTTTTTTGTTACGGTACAAACCCTTATTTTCTATCCCCTAATCCACTAAACTTAGACACAGCTCTCACAAAAAAACTTTCTGCATTTTTTACATTTTCATAAAACATCATTCTGAATGATTTATGTACCGTTTTCTTCACGGGGACCAAAATATGTCCACACAAGGACAAGGATTTTGGATATTACCATGTGGTGACATTTTGTCCCCATACCGTTTTACCAGAGCAACACACACACACACACACACACACACACACACTCTCAGAAAGAATACAATTGATATAGTATACATCTAACCAGCAATCAATATAATATCTATTTTGCGTAAATAGCATTTGGAAAATGCCTGTCTTTGTTTATTCCTTTAATATATAGTATGTAATCTGACTTATTCAATAAAAAAAAATTGATTAAATGGTTATAGACGTCTTGTTTTCTTAATCTGATGTTTTTTGTGTGTGATTATTTTAAAGGCATCTTGTCTGTGAATAACTTTGAGTCTTGAGTGAGCAGACACCTGAATTCTATGGAAAACTGATTTTTATAAACCGATTGCTATATGCTGTTTGCACATTTACAGTATGCAGTATGGAAACTGAGATTTGTCAAAACTATTTAATTGTGAATTTGAAGTGTGTATAGACCATTTAAAAATGTAAATATATTTATGTGTGCAATTCAACAAAACAGAACACATTTTTGCATATCATGCTGGTCAGGAAGAACTTGGACTAAGAAATGTTACACAACAAAGTTTGTTTTTGTTTTTTTGCCAAATGAAGGAATTATGTTCAATAGGGAAGATAATCTCTCTGTCGGAGACTTTGTGAAGGCTTTTTCTTTTATGAGGCAACATTTCTATGCGACTGAAACTGTAAAAGGCTGAACTGAGGTATGTAACCTAAACAAACAGTGTATAAGAGATCTTGACAGACATGTTGTGTACACATTTCTTGTATTAGAGAAATTTAAAGTGATGTTCATGCTGATTGTTCTTGTTATTTTGAGAGAAGAAAAAAAAGAATGTGTGGATACGTATTCCTCATTTTTCTTTGGACATCCATCCTTCTCTCTTTACCCTGTGGTTATAATGGCGACAAGATCCTGGTTTTCCCCGTTGATGGCAGTCACTGGGTGAACATGGAGGTACTGATTTGAATACACAGCATGTGTAGATTTCCAGCAAAGTCTGTTGTTTTTTATATGACTTTGTGTAAGTTTCTGTTTTAAAACAAACCACAATCGTTCTATCCGAAACGATTAAGACTGAAATTTGTACATTCTGCTGGCCAGAGACTTTTTGGTTTCTGTGGAAGTGCTTAACAGGGCTTTAAGTGTAAAATACCAAACTTGTCCTTTAAATATGTAATTTTGGTGATCAAATATGAGTTTTAATTAATTCATAATTCATGCAGTTCAGACTGTTTGATAACTTTATTCAATTAAATCTGTATTTTTTCTACCTGTTAGACTGGTAGAAAGGGCACAGGTAAATGTGACATTTGGTGAAGTTCACAATGTAATTTTGGGAGGAGTGAACCCATCTAATCTTTCTACATTAATTTGGAGAGTAACTGTGAAATGATTACGTTATAAAATACATTAAAAATATTGCAATTATTCACAGAAAAAAAAAAGTGTATTAATCTTTTAAACTCTTCTAATTAAAACCTAAGTGCACTCCTTTACTGCCCCCTAGGTGCTGGTGAAGAAGCTGCAGTCTCGTGGACATGAGCTGAGTGTGATTCGGATGGAGGACAGCTGGTTCATCCAAGAGAATTCAACTTCCTACACCTCCATTACAGTGAAGCTTAAAACGAATCATATAGGCCTGGACCTGTTTGAGACCGCAGCACAAAGGATTCTTGAGGCCCGCATGAAGGGCCCGATGATAGGAGCACTAGTCCAGCTCTCGGAATTTATTGGAATCATGAATGTGGCTCACACCGCAACCTGTGCCATGCTGACCGCCATGCTGGAGAACAAAGCTCTGATGAGACAAATAAAGATGGCGAACTATGACTTGATGCTTACAGACCCAGCCATGCCAGGTGGGATCATCCTGGCACATTACCTCCACCTTCCAATGGTCTATAACGTCCGCTGGATGACTTTCGGAGAGGGACACTTCTCCATTGCTCCTTCTCCTATCTCCTACGTGCCTGTGCCTGGCTCAGGTCTAACAGACCGAATGGGCCTGTTAGAAAGATCCCGCAACCTTCTACATTATGGGTTGAACCTCATTCAAGAGCGCTGGCTGGTGATTCCCACGTATACCAGCTTGTTGCTCAACTACTTCCCTCCGGACGCCGACCTCCTCGCCATGCAACTTTCAGCGGAGATGTGGCTAGTGCGTGTTGACTTCGTGTTCGAGTTCCCACGACCGTCCATGCCGAACCTCGCTTACATTGGTGGCTTCCAGTGTCGTCCAGCCAAGCCTCTTCCTGCCGAGCTGGAGGAGTTCATGCAGAGCTCAGGAGACCATGGGGTGGTCGTGATGTCTCTGGGAACGCTGATCGCAGGATTGCCCAGAAAGATCATGGAAGCCATTGCCTCAGCTTTCGCCCACATCCCACAGAAGGTGGTCTGGAGGTTTATTGGCGATAGACCTTCATCACTTGGCAATAACACCCTACTACTTGAATGGATACCACAGAACGACTTGCTGGGTCATCCGAAAACCCGTGCTTTCGTGGCTCATGGTGGCACCAATGGTCTATATGAAGCCATATATCATGGAGTGCCAGTTCTGGGACTCCCGTTGCTGTTCGACCAGCCAGATAACATCGTACGTCTTCAGGCAAGAGGTGCGGCACGGATGCTGGACGCAGCTACTTGTACGTCAGAAGAATTCCTCGAGGCTTTGAGCGATATCTTAGAGAACCCAACGTATCGTCAAAACATGCAGAAGCTCTCCAGTTTACACCGAAACCAACCCCTGCATCCCCTCGACAAAGCAGTGTACTGGATCGAGTTTGTCCTGCGCAATAAAGGTGCGCGCCATCTGCATGCTGAGGCCAACAACATGTCTATGTACTCCTACTACTGCCTAGATGTGGCTGCAGTGGTTCTCCTCATGCTCCTGGTAACTCTGGGAGGTGTCTATTCAATATGGATACACATTTGGAAAAGAGAGACAAAAAAGGCTGTTAGAGATGGCAACAAGAAACCTGTAAAGGATAGTAGTAAGAGGTTGAAAGAGAGCATTAATGCTCTGAAAAACAGCAATAATATCCCTATTCCAAAACTAAGAGCAGGCAAAACTAGGTTTTAGTACAATTCCAGAGCTACACTGTAAAAAATATCGTTGGTTTAACTTAAATTAAGTAACCTGGTTGCATTAAAAGTTCTTTGAAATGGAAAAATTGAGTTAATACAATGAAGGAGATTGATTTAATCATCAGAAACTCAAAATGGTGTGTTCTCTGAACCACATAAATTATTTAAGTTGATTTGACAAAAGAAAAAAATGTTGTGATTACAAATCATGAGCATATTTTTTACAGTGTACGTACTTATTGTATCCAGTGTCCGTTCATTCAATCGTCTTTCTTTCTTTTTTCTTTCTCCCCCCGTTTCTTTTCCTTGAGCTCTTGCAATTCCCTGCCAAGACTAAACTGTGTGCTCGTGATTAGGTGCAGATCCCTTCCTGGAATCCTTCACATTTGTTGTAATCCCCCTGTTTGCACACAAAGCATTTAAGACCATTCAGCAAAAAGAAAAAAAGAGTCACCTCACCAGTGACAAACATCTGCTGGTCAATAGGCCTGAACTCAGCGTGTTCAGGATATGACATAAAGTTCCAAAGTGTCCAAAACATGCAATCATTTGTAGCTCCATGAAGCAATTTTATTGCAACCATTCACATTTTCAGCGTGTAAAACATGGCTAATTACATGCATAGTAATGCATAACAAATGGTCAAAATAAACACTCTTTCCCGAGTCCAAAACAGCAGGTTTCATTTTAACAAGCTTTTATATTCTGCAGCCAATCACCAGCAGGTGGCGCTATATGGATGTATTCAAAGTACTGCTCAGAATAATTTCTGCAATCCAAAATCAGATTACATACTATTTTATATCAGCGCAATGCTTTTTACACACCATCCATCAAAATCCCATGCTTTCATTAAAGCAAAAATGATTTAAATTGAGATGATCGCAAACCTGACCAAAATGGTGCGTGTCACCACACTTTCTCTTAACCACAGGAGGAGGCCATTCTTTTCTCCAGATATGAGACAGGAGATGGCTGGAAGCGCATGCAGGGGACAGAATGATAAAAAGAAGACAGGCAAGGATGAGAGGGCTCTAACTGATTGAGGGGACATTAGCCTGGGCTGTATTCGCTAATGTATGCTTCTAATGACTCGTTATCTCATTATCAATCTTATTCTCGCTCATCTTTTCTTTTCCTCACTCTCTCCCCTTCCTCTATCTCTCTATCTCCTCCCAATCGACCAGCAATGATGGGAATAGCAATTAGGACGCTAGGCTGCCAAATGGCTATTTTAATTAGCCTTTCTTAGTGAGAGAGAGAGAGGTGGGATGAGAGAGTGAATGAGAGAGAGAGAGAGAGAGAGAAAGAAAGAGACTAATGTTCTTCATAAGTGCTACAGATTAGAAGGTCATTAGGCTTTTGCTTGAATTAATGATTAGGAATTCCTGCAGGTCATAGAAACTTATTACACAAGCCTACTTAACATTAATAGAACCATCCTATTTGTGTTAAACACAAAGAAATTAAAACTAAAAACCAATTACAGAGTGATGACATTGTCTTTCGCCCTCCCCCTGGTCACCCATAACGGAGACCCAGTGTAAAACTCTCTGGACAGTAGAGAGACTCTATAGTCGCACAAGGATAAATGATCGGTTTCGCTCGCGCTCCCGTTTTATTCTTTCCCAGTTTTACTCCCTGGTCATTCTATGGTTTTTCTATCTGCTTTCAATATCTTCTGCTTCTCCACTGTATGTTCCGTCATTGTCAGTAAACCGCAGTGTTTCTCCGTTGTGGTACGTAATTTTCTTCAAGAGCACAATGCAACATTCTTGTGTGTTATTTGTTCATTTGTGGCTTGTTTGGGACACGGGCTGGTCTGACGAAAATCTCTTCAGAGGCACTTTCCATCCCAAAAGAGATAGACTACTTATTTCAGCCCTTTCTTAGATCAATCCCCCTGACACATAAAACAAGGCAAAACACACACACACAAGGCCTACTTTCTGCACATAGTGTTCATACTGAAAAAAAATATGTGCGTAGATCACATAGAAAAGTGATGTAGAGTATAGCCTATACAAAATGATTAAAAATGTAGCCATACGAGTGATTTGTGTGAGGAACAAACTGAAATTCACTATTTGCTGATAATGTTCCCCTCCAGTGAGCTGTTAACTGCTGCATTGAATCAGTGAG